CACCTGAGAGCTTGGGGCTCCCTTGTTCCTACTCTCTGGCAGAAAGCTCAGATGTCCATGGTGGGCTTATAGTTTCTGGCCCTTTGCCAGGAAGCAAAGGAATCATCAGAGCTATTCCATTAATAGAGTGGAATATTATATCTATGCTATATTTGCTATTTCTTAAATATTAAACATTTAAAAGTTAATGTGTGATCCAAGTATAGAGTAAGGGCTGTTAACATACCCAAGATAGGTATTTTTTTTTGCAACTATTAATATTTCATATCTACCCTTATTATTATTTTTTTTTCTCGAGATGGAATTGCCCAGGCTGGAGTGCAGTGGCGTGATCTCAGCTCACTGCAAGCTCCGCCTCCTGCATATCTACCCATTTTTAATGCAGATTTGGGTTTCAGTGCAGGTATGGGTTCTTTGGGCTCTGTCTTTCAGAGCTCTGTTAGGAAGCTTTTTCATCACATAGGCCAGCATGGAAGCTTTGTATTCAGTCCTTTGAAGTTTGTACAGAGCACTTTGATCTTTGTTTCTGTATCTGTTTTTTGGAGGGATTATTGATTTGATTCTAAAGAATTCCATTTTATTGCAATTTAAGGATAACAGCTTAGTAAGAAGCATAATTATGAGTATGAATACAATTTGAGTCAAAATTGGACATATTTTAAGTAGGTTAATGCAATTTAATTGTTCTCTGACATAGTATGAGTATTTATTGTCCCCTGAGCTTTTATCATTTCAGGCTTTTTCTTGCTAATTTACATTTCTATAGGTTAAATAAACTATTTAACCAGAGTTTGAGAGCATCTGTGTGCCATGTACTGTGCAAGGCATTTTTAATCAAATATTTTTATGTGCTTGCCAAGTGGTAGACCCTGTCTTAAGGCAGTTGGAATATGGCAGTGAACAAAATCACAAAAGTTTTTGGATTCAGGTAGAGGAGAGAAAAAAATCATAAGGTAGACGGTTATAAATACAAAAATAAAGCACGGATGAGAGATTGGGCGTGTCAGGTGGGCTAGTTGCAATTCTAAATATTGGGGCCTAGTGATGGGCCTTGCCGTCACATAGCTTCCAGCCTTGTAGTAATTGTTGTTCTTTGATCATAGTGTAGAGTAAGGGCTATCAACACACCCAAGATAGGTATTTTTTGAAACTATTAATATTTCATCTGTACCCATTTTTATTGTAGATTTGGGTTTCAATGCAGGTATAGGTTCTTCTGTCTCTCCCCTCCCCCTCTGCCCCCTCTCTCTTCTCTTCCTTTTTTTGAGACAGGGTCTCACTTTGTCGCCCAGGCTGGAGTGCAGTAGTGCGGTCATAGGTCACTGCAGCCTTGAATTCCTGGGTTCAAGAGATCCTTCTGTCCTCAGCCTCCCAAGTAGCTGGAACTATAGGCATGTGCTACTGTGCCTAGCTAATTTTTACATTGTTTAAGAGACAGGGTCTTGCTGTGTTTTCTAGGCTGTTAATTTTAAGCTCCTGGACTCAAGTGATCCTCCCATCTAGGTGTTTCAAAGTGTTGGGATTATAGGAATGAGCCACTGTGCCTGGCTTGTTTCTTGATGAACACTTCACCATTAGAAGGAAATGTCCTTCTAATCTACTGAAACAGAGCACATTATCCCTGCTTTGTCCAGAAGGAAACCAAAGCTTTGAGAGTCAAGTAAATTGCTGAATGAACACGGTGAGACCCAGATCTGACTCTAAAGCCCATGCACTTGAAGATAGTGTCAGACCATGTCAACTTTGGACATATTTGTTATAGAAGAATTATCCAACTTTGGAGCTAAGGCCGTCTTATATTTCATTCTGAGGTGTTGTGCAGTAAGTTGGCTGGTTCATGGAGTGTGTGTGTTACCCGCGTTACTGTGAACTTCCCCTTCACCATTGCAGTTGTTCTATTTTAAAGGACTTTGGGTTATGCCCTGTGGCCACATGACAAGCAAAGGAGCTGCTTGGTTACCGACTTCCATGCAGTGGGTTACATTTGTATGTGGGAGAGTAAACTCTGTTTACTCCAGCAAATCATTGACTACTTGAATTCCTGGCATTGCATTTCAAAGATAGGACACTAATTTGGCTGGTCCATGTATCATGTCCAAGAGCATGTTATAAATGCTCATATTTAGAAGGGAATGTAAAGTGAGTAAAAGGTAATAATGGAAAGGTCACTGCTTATTGTGTTTATCACAGATTAGGACATCACTTGTATTTCTAATGATTGTTTTATCATGATAAAAAGTGAAAAGCAAATGAGTGTGTTGGATTAGAAACCTTTATGAGGACTGTGGAAATGAGGTCAGGGGTTCAAGAGAGCTCTGTTTTTCCTTCTGCCTTGAGTGTGCTTATGATCAAAGTGGGAGGATGTTCAGCCCAGTGCATTCTTTGTCTTGGGCATTGATGGTTCTTTTGTGCTTTGGCTAATTTAATGTTTGACATATGTATATTGGTTATTAGTCTAAAAAAGGGGCTATATATTTGCAACTCTGCTATTTTTTGTTGTCAGTTTCTAGTGACTTTCCCCACTTACTACTTCTAAGTTAAAGTGCTGGGTTGGTTGTTTGCTTGTTTGTTTGAGATGGAGTCTTGCTCTTGTCGCCCAGGCTGGAATGCAGTGGCGCAATCTCAGCTCACTGCAACCTCTGCCTCCTGGGTTCAAGCTGTTTTCCTGCCTCAGCCTCCTGAGTAGCTGGAATTACAGGCACCGACCACCACGCCCGGCTAATTTTTGTCCTTTTAGTAGACGCAGGGTTTCCCCGTGTTGGCCAGGCTGGTCTCGAACTCCTGACCTCAGGGACTGTGCCTGCCTCAGCCTCCCAAAGTGCTGGGATTACAGGCATGAGCCACTGCACCCAGCCATTGCTGTGGATTTTTATAAGATAATTTTCTTTTTACTCAAGAGATAAGCTATGGTTTGAGCACATGGGCTGTGGAATTTATTCTACTTGTTTACTTTTTTGAAGGATAATATACAGAAAAGTATACATATTATAAATGTACAACGTAAATACTTTTTGGAAACTGAGCACACCTAGGTAGCCAGCTTCCAGATCGAAGCATAAACAGTTGGCATCCTAGTGCCCCATCCCCTTCTAATCTCTTCTGTCATTCTCTTCCCACAAGGGTTACCACTGCCCTGACTTCTAACAGCATTTTTTTGTTCAGCCTGTCTTTGTACTTTATAGGAATAGAATAATACAACTGGAACTCTTTTGCATTTGGCTTCTTTTTCTTTCCATTATTTGAGAGGTTGAACTTGTGGTTGAATGTAGTTGAAGGTTATTTTCATTGCCATATGATATTTCATTATGTGGATATGCCATAATTTATCTATTATAATGTTAAAGACATCGACCCTGCTTCTAGTTTTTGTTGTGATGAATAGTACTGTCATAAACATTCTTGTATATAACTTTTTGTCAACATATGTAAGCGTTTATGTTGGATGTATACCTAGGAATGGAATTATTAGGTTGTATAATATCAATGTATTTAGCTTGAATACATATTACCAAGTAACTTAAGAGTTTAAGTAGTTGTACCAATTTACATTTCCATCAGTAGTGTGAGAGTTCATGAATTTCATTGTTGAGATGTTGTTTTGGGAGGTGGGTGAGAGGTGCATGCTATTCTTAGGTTCATTTCAGTACATGTTTGTTTTCTGAAAAGGAGTGGTCTTAGTTCCCTTGTTGATTCTTTGAAAGTTAAGTTAAAAATTTGTCTCTGTGTACTCACATTCTCCTTTTATTTTTTCTTTGTATATATGAATATATATGTGTTTTATGTTGATGTCTTCTACATGCATATATAGATGTGTGTATATTTTATCTTGAAATATACTACTGTACTGTTAGACTGGACAGGCCACTTAGAAGCTTTCTCACTCAGGCTTCTACAAGTCTCTGAATTCACACCCATCCTGCTTAAGTGTCTCTAATGAGGGGAAGTGCTTTCTTTTTAGGATGACCCATCCCTTTGTGAAGAAGCATTTTGTTGCTTCTTCAACACTGTGGTGACATCTGCCTCTTTTTAACTTCTCCCATAAGTATCATGCCCTTTCATATGTGAGCAAAAAACCCATGATTCTTATAATACAGTGAAGTTTATTCAGGCAGAGGTTCATGGCTGTTTTCTAAACTGCCACTTTTCAACATTTGCAGGGTCAAAGTCTCTGAGCAGTTTGTTCTGGGGAACTTGGATGAAAAACCCTATGGATGATGGCAAAAAAAAAAAAAAACCTCAGTGCAAAGTCGCTTTTATTTTTCTTTGTGTGTGTATGTTTTTTGTTTGTTTGTTTGTTGTTGTTGTTTTGATATGGAGTCTTGCTCTGTCGCCCAGGCTGGAGTGCAGTGGCCCAATCTTGGCTCACTGCAAGCTCTGCCTCCTGGGTTCACACCATTCTCCTGCCTCAGCCTCCCGAGTAGCTGGGACTACAGGCGTCTGCCACCACGCCCGGCTAATTTTTTTTTAATTTTTAGTAGAAATGGGGTTTCACCGTGTTAGCCAGGATGGTCTCAATCTCCTGACCTCATGATCCACCCGCCTCGGCCTCCCAAAGTGCTGGGATTACAGGTGTGAGCCACCACACCCGCCTCTTTGTGTTTTTAAGGTTTTTTTCCCCCCATTTCCCAGTTTTTCTTTCATGAACACACTGATCCCCCCTCATTGGGTTTAAACCTTATTTAAGAAAGAAATACAAAAAATGCATATAACGTATTTAAAAATTAGACTAAAATGAAAAAACAGCACTGCTTTTTATAGAAAACTGACAATTATATTAATGAATATCAATGAATACAGAAAATCAATGCATTATACTTTTGTCGAATCAATGAATATGGAAAAATTCTTCTGATGGAGATAATATGAGCTCTAAGAGATTTGAACTTCCATGTGATATTAATATTCATAGAATTTTAGAATAAAAATGAGTTTTTTTCTAGCTATAATTAATAATTTAAAGTTCACGGATATTACCTAATAGATATTTTCTTTCTTTACAGGCAAGAAGAGACTGATAGGAGAGTGAAAAATGTAAGATACATTTACCTTAATGTAGCATTATAGGTGGTTTTCACTTCCATGTTCTGTAAGAAGGCAGTGAATCTAAAAGTATACTCTACATCTCTTTTCTAATTAAATTTTTGGTTACAGACCAATCAGTTACAAACAGTAGGTATGTTTAAATATATGTATTACAATATATGGTTAGATTGTTCAGCTCCCACTTATAAGGGAGAACATGTGGTATTTGGTTTTCTGCTCCTCCATTAGTTTGCTGAGGATAATGGCTTCCAGCTCTGACCATGTCCCTGCAAAGGACATGATCTTGTTTCTTTTAATGGCTGCATAGTATTCCAGAGCTGAACAATGAGAACTCATGGACAGAGACAGGGGAACAACACACATTAGGGCCTGTCGGGTGATGGGGGAAGGAGAGCCTCAGGATAAATAGCTAATGCATGTGGGACTTAATAGCCAGGTGATGGGTTGATAGGGGCAGCAAACCACAATGGCACACGTTTACCTACGTAACAAACCTGCACATCCTGCACATGTATCCCAGAACTTAAAATAAAATAAAATTTAAAAACAATTGGTTAGAGTGGTATAAGAGGATAGGTTACATTTAGGAAGCTGTTTGTTATGTGTTAGTAATATGCTAAAGGCAAGTAAACATATTTTAAGATTTTTATGGGAGTAAATAGGAAACTACCAATTTAGACTTTAAGGAAAAGCACTGAATGTTTAAGGGCCCTGGGTAATTGATCAATGTAGACTCATATGTCTTACAATATTTTATGGAAATTGCAAGAATATCTAAAAATGTTGCAGCTTTATTAAAAAGTTTAACATCCTTATTAAGGAAGCTGAGAATTACTGATGTTTAGGTGATCATTCTGTAAGTTCAATGAAAAAATATTGATTGCTTTAAAAGTTTCATTTGTGTTTTCTCTTATTTTTTTCCCTCTTCATATATACTAGTAGAGTATATGCATGACTACCTTTTGGAGTCTGGACTTTTGGTCTAAGAACTTGCTCAGAGACAGGAAAATGTAGCAAGAAAAATTAAGATTTGTAATGCCTTTTCCCTTTCCCATAAACTTAAAAGAAAGTCTACTTTGCACCCACAGAGTAATATGTGCTATCATTTATCTACAGTACTCACCTACATTTGAGCTTGCAGTTGGTTGCTAATCGACTGATCTTGTTATTCATGGATTTTTTTTTTTTTTTTTTTTTTTTTTTAAGGTTTTGATAACATTGTACTGGCTGGGAAGAAAAGCACAAAGCAACCCATACTATAATGGTCCCCATCTTAATTTGAAAGCGTTTGAGAATCTTTTAGGACAAGCCCTGACGAAGGTAAGTAAACTACATCTGTGTGAGATTACTGGTGTAATACAGTATCACTACTTTCCCTTCCTCCTCTCTTCTTCTTCTCCTTTTCCTCTGTAACAAATATGGCAACTCTGACTCTCTTTGTCCCACTCTCGATTGGACTGAGTAAAGAGGAATGTTACTCATTTCCTGGCTTTATATGCTGGCATCAAGGAGTGAGTTGGATCTAATCCAGAGCAATTTCCAAGGTAGAGAGACTTGCTTACCTTTTAATTCTATGTAATTTGATGACACATGCATTGGTTTCCTTCCTTATACACTTTATGTAGCTTAAGTATTTCTATACTCATTGTAAACTCAACCCATAGTAGAGAGGTGCTTCCTGGACTGTTAACACACATGGAATTTACTCAATTTCTTTGTAGTAGTGTGTTCTTATCATCAATGATGGTCTTTAATGCTCACACTTTCATATCCCCACAATTCTACCATGTTGCCTCTGTTTCCTAAAGAGTAGGACATGGTGTTAACTGGAACTTGATATAAGGTTTTAAGTTAGAATCCTTTGTTTTATACACATTTCTACTCATTCATATTTTGGAATCAATGTGACAGTCTTTTGAATGCTTGAGGACTATCTGCAGAGAGCCAAGTGCCAGGACTGACCGTAGTTCTGCCAAATCTTCATTTATAAGATCCACATGGGAAAAACGAATTTCTCTGGGTAGGGGTATTTATTCAGGGAAATTTGTAGGACTCTGAAGAGCCCTTTTGTGTAGTCACAATGGTATTTCATCATCTAATTAGTATTCATTGCTTCATGGGTTTCTCTAATGGTTAAATGATACCACACCAGTAAGGCATTTAGCATTAGTCTGTAGTACATCGTAAGGTTGCAATAAATATTAGTTGCTGTGATTGAAAGAAATTTTAGGCCAGGATGAACATGATAACCTTGGCTTGCACCTACCCTGATCTTTAAATAATTTTGCCTGAGCCCAGCCACACGTATTATAGCAAGAGGTGGGATTATAGAGCCTAGAAGATACAGGTATTCCTGTTCACCACCAAAATGTAAGGAGTCAATAACACTCTATTCAAATTCCTTGAATAAGTTAATTCAGGAAATAGCTGAGATATTAACATGCATACACATTGTACTAAGTATTGGGAAAACACTCATGAGAGATGACCTAACCTCATAAAGCACAATTGTCTAAGATAGGTGAGCATATTGGTCACTGCAATGAAGAATAGTGAGACTTTAATGGAGGAATTTCAGGGGGCTTTGAGCACGGGGAGAACCTTGCCTTACAGTTATTTCAGCTAATAACACTTTTGGTTAAAACCTATGTGGGGTACTGGGCACAGTGGCTTACGCCTGTAATCCTGGCACTTTGGGAGGCTGAGGCGGGTGGATCACCCGAAGTTGGGAGTTTGAGACCAGCCTGACCAACGTGGATAAACCCCATCTCTACTAAAAATACAAAATTAGCTGGGCGTGGTGGCGCATGCCTATAATCCCAGCTACTTGGGAGGCTGAGGCAGGAGAATTGCTTGAACCTGGGAGGCAGAGGTTGCAGTGAGCCAAGCCTGGGCAACAAGAGCAAAACTGTGTCTCAAAAAAAAAAAACAAAACAAAAAAAAAAACCCAAAAAAACATGTGGGACTTTGGCTTCTGTACTAGGGTTCTCTTTATAGCCTTTGGTCCTTTTAATGACAGTCTAACTTAGGTTGAATAATCCTGGTACAGTGTCTATGCCAGGAATGCTTTATCAAAGACTGTTTCCTGTTACCAGTTTCAAAACCAGAGGAGGTAGATGAAGACCTTATGGTTTATAAAACTCTGGTTGTGGTTCCATTCCATTATAATAAAGTAGGGGTAGCTGTTAGAGGCATGTGACTATATCATATGTTTTGTATCAGTTCTGTTAAAATCAAAACCAATGTGTTCATCAGGCATTTCCCATTTAACCGGATAATGCTTACAAGCTTATATAAAATACCAGATAAAAAATCATTGGTGGAAGTTGTAGCACCTCAGTGAGTCATCTTAGAAGTTGGAGGTGACTCATTTTAGTTGACTTGTCAGGGTGCCTCCTTAAAAGCCAGGCACCAGGGCCAAAGGTTATTTTATAACTGAAGTGGCTGTCATCAATAACTTCAACATTTATGAGGTCAAACATCTATCTTAAGTGTTGAACTCTGAGGCCTTAACAACTAAGTGTCTAAGAAACCTGACAGATCTAAACACTTACATTTAAAAAAGTCTTTCTGTATTTTGAGAAGCATTTTGGCGGCACCAGCACTAGGCCTGGCTTCCCCATCTGCTTGGAAGTAGCAAGATGTAAGGTAGGCACTAGCATTTTCATGACAGGATGTCAGCTCTAATGCCAGGGTGTCGGCATCTAAAGCACATGAAATCCCCCTGAAATCTGCTAGACCTTTTTAGTGCTCCAAACAGTTGTTAGACAATTGAATCATGAATTGACGGTATTAGATCAAAAGTATGCCTGAGACAGCTGCTAATTATTCACTGCAAACTCTTCAGCTTTTTCATATGTTGAAAATATTTATAATTAAAAATTGAAAGAAGAGTACAACAAATTCCCAGATGTGCACTGTCTGGTTCAATTATTACAATTTTCCATACTGGCTTTATCTACATATGTGTTTATCCATCCATCTATGTTTTTACTTAACCATTTTAATATAAACTGCAGGTGTATTTCTCCCCAAATACTCAGTATGCATCTCCTAAGAATATGAATATTCTTCTATATAGCTACAATGTTTATTATATTTAAGAAAACTTAGATATTCCCCATTATCTAATGTTCAGTTGACATTAAAACTTTCATACTTGTCTCCAGCTACTTTTCATAGCACTTTTTATTTTGAATCATGACTTAATCAAGGTTCACATAATATGTTTGATTGTTAGTAATTACTAGGTTCTTTAAATTGTCTCTGTATTAGTAAGCTCATCTGAAAGTAACATTTCTGATTTTTACTATGACAAAATTATCTTCACCATATAAAACACTGTAGTTACTAGATATTCATTGATTACTGTAAGTCAGGACTACACCATGGGCTTTGTAAATTTTACTCAAATCCTAATGTTTAAAAAGCCAGGTTATATTTTGTCACTAACATTAACAGAAGAATGTTAGTTAAAAGTGCTTATCTTGAGTAAGTTCTATATAATTCACAAACCTACAGTTAACATCATTTGCGATGTTTCTGTGTATCCTTTATATGAACCAATAAAAAATTAATATTTTGGCCGGGCGTGGTGGCTCAAGCCTGTAATCTCAGCACTTTGGGAGGCTGAGACAGGCAGATCACGAGGTCAGGAGATCGAGACCATCCTGGCTAACACGGTGAAACCCCGTCTCTACTAAAAAGTACAGAAAACTAGCCGGGTGAGGTGGCGGACGCCTGTAGTCCCAGCTACTCGGGAGGCTGAGGCGGGAGAATGGACAAAACCCAGGAGGCGGAGCTGGCAGTGAGCTGAGATCCGGCCACTGCACTCCAGCCTGGGCGACAGAGCGAGACTCCGTCTCAAAAAAAAAAAAAAAAAAAATTAATATTTTATTTAGGTCCATAGAAAATAAGTTATATATGTCAGCAAACAAGTGTGCTTCCCTTGATTCAACAAGGAGGATAAGCCAGCTGCCAGGACCTTAGAACCAGGTTGTGTAATTAGTGAGAGTATATGAATTCTGTGAAATTTATGCCCACTTGCTCCTTTTTATTTTTCTGGGGGGGAGGGTTAAATAACTTCAGTTGTTAAGGTTTTATGTTATATAAGCCATCACAGATATTTCCTGGAGATAGAGTGAATATAATCTTGCTGATTTATCTCCTTTTGGATGACTAAGTTAAGGTTAGTTTTTCTCTTCGACTCTTTTCACATTTATTGCTGGAGAACTGTAATAACTGAGTTTAGCATTTCAATGTTACTTTGTGAACTTTAATGAAATCATTAAACTAGTAATTTTCCTTATTTTTGAATAGAACATATGTACTAGTTTATTAAATAATATTGAATATCTCCTTATTGTTACTTTGAATATTGAATACCTCCTTATTGTGTCAGTTGTGGGGAAACAATTATAAATTTATTTTCTGTTTTTCATCAGCTTTTTTCTATGTCTGACAGAAACCTCATTGCCTTACATGTCAAATGAAACCCAATTTAAATTAGGCAAACAAGCAAGTAATAACCGATTGATGATATTTTTTGGAAGTTTATTTAACTTACTATTCTTTAAAAAATGTTTCTTTAGGCACTTGAAGACTCCAGCTTCCTGAAAAGAAGTGGCAGGGACAGTGGCTACGGTGACATCTGGTGTCCTGAACGTGGAGAATTTCTGGCTCCTCCAAGGCACCATAAGAGAGAAGATTCCTTTGAAAGCTTGGACTCTTTGGGCTCGAGGTCATTGACAAGCTGCTCCTCTGATATCACGTTGAGAGGGGGGCGTGAAGGTGTGTTGTGTTTTGGCTGTCATTTTATTTGTTTGCATATCAAGGGAGAACTGGAAACAAGAGAGAATAGAAAAATGGAGCAAAAACTAGGCAAAAATTTCACTTAGAAGTGGATTTTCATAGGGACTCAAGTGTAACTGGGGGTTTTGTTATTTTTTTCTCCTTCATGATGGTGATAGTTTCATTTTTGAAAAGTTTCATTTCTGGAAAGGACTGGGAGGTGACAGTTAATTGTGACCTGTTTTATCAGTGATAATCTATCCTGGCTCTTCTGTCTCCAGATTCAGGCTTAGTTTGTGTTCACGAGTTCTATAAACTGATATATCTAAACATAGAAAGGAATATAAGATTCTGCAAAAAAAAAAAAAAAAAAAAAAAAAAATTCTCTTCTAGTTTCTGAGTAACTTTCATCCTTGGCTTTTTTCAAAAGATTAAAAAAATTCTCTTAAGCAAAAACAAAAGAGATATTTTTACAATTATTTCTATAGATGAGACGAAATGACTATCTATCATGATAGAATATTATGTTAAACTTTGTAGACTGAATAATATGCCACCACCTAACATGCTGGTAGAAATCCTCTTTTGGTCCTTTCAGGGTCAGAGCTAACCTAGGACAGAGCAAGTGTGAAAGGAACATGTTAGAGACATCTTGTTGTGGGAAGGAACCTTCTTTCAAAATCCCAAGCTTATGGTCAGTTCAGTTATTTCAACACACATCTTATTCCTGTGGCTACTGGGTATAGCATCAGCAATTTCTGACTGCACATCTCCAGCTATTCAGATTTGACTAGATTGAAATCACAAGTAAAGTTTTTTTGAAATATTTATATGCTTCTACTGACATCAACGTGAAAACATTGAGTTCTGACTGTGAATGTCTGCTTGATTGTTAGGGATTTTACATTGCTTATGTATTTGGAATATTACTTTTCTATTTCTAGATATTTTTCCTAGCATATCTATGACAAAAATGTCAAAAATCAGCAAACTTAAAATAATTGTACAGTAAACACACATGTGTTTGTCGCCTAATTCCACCATGATGTTTTACTATGCATGATTTGGCTTATGCCCATATCTCTCTCCTCTCTCTCTCTCTCTCTTTCTCTTTCCCCCTCCCTCCCTCTTTCTTTCTCTATTATAATTTAATCATCTTATTTTTTGAGGCATTTTGGAATATATTACACTTATCCTAAATACTTCAGTATGCACATCATTAACTAGAATTTATTATTTGTTTTGCTTCTGATGTGAAACTTATATAAATGCAACATACTGTGAATTTGTTTTCCAAAAAATCAATCAACAATTTATTAAGCATAGTAACAAAAAACCTGAATGCTTTATCTTTTAGAGTAGTAGTTTTTAAAAATAAAAAATGTGAAAGGCTATTTAAGCATTAACCTTTGTAATTACTGCCACATGTATTGGCTGTTTCCTGTCAAGGTGTGACACATTCATAGCCTAGATGACGATTCCAATACGTTTAAGGAAATGAATATGAGTATGTGATTCATCTGAGTGGTTAAAGCTGTAAAAGCAGAGGCTGAAATTCTGAACCCGCTGTATTTCTTTGCCCTGACTGAAGAACCTACTCCATGTAATGATGGAATTTATATCTAGCCAAGGAATAAAAGAGGAAAAGATAGAGGGCATGTGGGAATATGCAGGCTTCAGTCAGTTCAGATGCAGTGGCCCACCCAGTGGTGTGGAATCTAAGGCGTCTTCTCAGATCCTAGTTGGAATAGACACCTGTCCATGTAACCAAAAGCAGAGGGCTACTGTCACATTCCTTTCTGATCTTGGAAATGGGGCTGCAGACCTTGTTTGAAGAGTGTGGAAGTGAAGTCTTGGAAATTACAACTAAGCAGGGAAAAAAAGCCTGGGATGGAGGCACCTGGATGATGAAACTCTTTTGTGATCAGCGTGTTAAAATTCTACTGCTACCCTCTAGATTGTAGTTCTAAATTGATGAGCACTATAATACAGGGTAATATTTTTAGGATAACAGAATTGCAATGTCACATTCTCTAGTTTTACATGAAAACTCATATCAAGAATGATATTTTGGGGGGAAAAATTATCTGCAGGTACTGTACTGGGCTAAAAAAAAAAAAGACTTTATCTTAAAAAGTAAAATAGTCTCTTTATGACTTAAAATTCCACATGTATAGATCTTGGCAAGAGTAATTGATATACTTATTGGAAATGAGAGATAAATGTCTGGTTTTTTAGAGGGTGGTAAAAAGAAAGCACCAGTTTATTGACTACTACCCCTCATGGTCATAGCTGCGTTTACTTTCTGTCTTTTACCAAGACTCTACTCCCCTTTTACCGTGTCCCTGTCTCACAGCTGTATGTTAAGCGACTTCCTGTAGACTCTTCTCAGTGTTATTTACTGTAGCTTCCTGCCAGGCAGGAGGGAGGGGAAGAGACTGCCTTTAACTCAGGTTGACCCTGCAGGTGCTCTACCTGCTGAGAGCTTGTAGCTGTCAGGCACTGTGCACAGCCAGGCCCGGAGAGAACCCTGGTGAGAAGCAAGTAACACTTCCAAACCTTTACAAATGCACAGGAGGCAGGAAGAGAAGAAGGGTGGGAAAGAGAGACAACTTGGCTTGGATCTGTAGTGTTGTTCTCTCCCCTTTTCTTCCTTTGTATTTAAAAGAGTAGATTTCTTCTTCTTCTTCTTTTAAGAAAGCAGATTACTATTTGTATCTATCTGACCTTGAGGTGTATCAAAGGGTGTTCTTTTGAATTTGTGTTTAAATGATTTTGAATCATAATACAAGGTTCCCAGTATAATTTCCATGGCCACTCAGAAGAAACTGTGAGTTCTGTGCTCTCATTTGGGCATAAGACTTGAGAGTCCTTTGGAACTTTAGAAGTTATCCAGTCCAACCTCATATTTAATATCTGATTCTGGTTCATCGGATCTATCCAGACCCTTTACAGGCTTCTTGTTGTTGTTTTGCTTCTCTTTCTACATCCTTCCTCATCTCTGCCCTCACATATATATTGTAGATAGCTGCATGCCTTATTTTAGATTACTGAGTTCCCCTAGAATTACTTTTGCATGTTGTTTTAAGTATCTGTGACTCCATTGCTAGATTTTATTTCTATGTATTACATCAACATATCTTATGGAAAATCATGGAGACAGAGATTGAGAAGTAAAGGGGCTCACTAGTAAAACAGGACGTTTTCTGCTTAGAGCCTACAGCAGCAAAAGAATGTACTGCATGTGCCTCCAGTATGCAAAGCAAGTTCCTCCTAATGGATCTTATCACAACTTCGTGACAAATTTCTAAAAATATTCCCTGCAGTTAGCAGTGGCAGCACTGGGTTTCTAAGGGAAAGACAAAGCAGGCGCACTGTGTGGGTTTCAGTTAGGCGAATAATCTGGAGAGTAAAGCAAATTCTTGTGCCTCCTTTATAGGTTTTGAAAGTGACACAGATTTGGAATTTACATTCAAGATGCAAGATTATAATAAAGATGATATGTCGTATCGAAGGATTTCGGCTGTTGAGCCAAAGACTGCGTTACCCTTCAATCGTTTTCTACCCAACAAAAGTAGACAGCCATCCTATGTACCAGCACCTCTGAGGAAGAAAAAGCCGGACAAACATGAGGATAACAGAAGAAGCTGGGCAAGCCCGGTTTATACAGAAGCAGATGGAACATTTTCGAGGTACTGAAATGGGTGTGATTATTGAGTTTCGTATGCGTTTCGAATGTGGTGGGATGTTAAATGTGGTAAAAAGAATGGCTCTTAAATGTGTTTCATAGATCATATATTAAGCTTGACTTGTGAGAATATTTTTCATCCCTCTATTTTTAGTTATACATATCTTGAAGCCATTTCTTCTGTTTTAGAATGTCAGCATGTGATTTGCTGGGTCTTTTTTTAGATGCATGACTTCAGTTTATTGGTATTTTTCAGCTTACCAGATAATTTATATTGTTCATGATGAGCCCTGCCATGTAATGTTTTTCCTTTTTTGATTGATCTTAGTGGACATGAAAAGAATCCTTTAATTTCTCAGCAAATTAGCAGAACAGAGTGTGGTTTTGCAAATCCAGCTTCCTCTCACGGGGAGGCGTACGGTTTTGAAAGTGGTTCGGACTCTGAGGAAGAACGAAGGTTTCCTGACATAGTTTTGGATGACTTAGCCAACCGTAGATTCCAAGTGAAAAAGAGGCCCCAGAATTTCATCTCGAAAATCACCTCTCCTAATTCTTGTCCGCAAATATTTTCTCCTGCTGATATGTTCACCATGGGGCTGTATGGACTGACGAGGTCAGAAATACTTGTCCTGGATCCGGCTGTCTATCATGCTGCTGATTTTAATTCAGAAAGTAACACCCCAAATTGTTTGTTATGTGCCTCTTTCTTTTAACACAGCTTCTAATGAAGTATCTTTGGCCCATGTGTATCTAGCTATCCTTGAATTAAAATGAGATGCTGTTATAATAAATTTGTCCTAGGAGTTGTGGTGGTGATGAGAATGGGAACTAATTGGCTTTGTTCACAGTAGTGTAAACTTTGTGAACCAGAAAGCATGCCGTTTGTGTGCTGTGTCACAAATGCTCATACAGTGTCTTAACCAGTTGGATGTTTTGAACAGTAATCAGAGGAGGATTTGGGGCACCAATGTGGAGAACTGGGCAACTGTACAAGGAACTTCAAAGTCCTCTTGTTATTTGGAAGAGGAAAAAGCAAAGACAAGAAGCATACCCAACATTGTAAAGGATGATCTTTATGTGCGCAAGCTCAGTCCAGTCATGCCAAACCCAGGGAATGCTTTTGATCAGTTTCTTCCCAAATGTTGGACCCCGGAAGATGTGAACTGGAAAAGAATAAAAAGGGAAACTTATAAGCCATGGTATAAAGAATTTCAGGGATTCAGGTTTGTCATTGTGCATGTTTCTATTACACCATTGTACATTCAGTACCCCAGCTGGGGTTCTATGTGCATGTTTTTTATAATAATAATAAGAGAGAGAGAGAGAAAGTCTATTTAGTTCTCTAGTGTCTACAGAACCTATATAATGGAAATGAATTTCTGTTTAAATTTAAACCTGAGGATCTAGATCTTAAAAAGCCCTGTTCCATACATAGTCGTCGCACGGCATTATTTTTAGTAGTTCTGTTTTTCTCCAATTCTTTGTCTCATTCCCTCCTCCCTTCTTTTCTCCATGTCACTCACAGTAGAAGGAATTCAGATTCTGAGGATGAGGACTCAGGTTCTGCCAGAAGCGCCACCGTTTTTAGTAGAGCACAAAAAGCAGAGCGTAGGCTAGACGGCAACTGCCAAAGACCTTCACTCTTGCTGGAATTAGCTACCAAACGGGCTGTAAAATCACCGGACTCCCATGCAGCCAGGAGAAGCAGTAGTGCTTCGGATGAGCCCAGGTGCCCCTGTCTGCATGAGCCTGCCTGCTGGGGGTCTGGCCTCAGACACCCCTCTGCCTGCTTCTGCTGCTCCATTAACCTGGGACCTGATTGCATTGAATCAGGAAACCTGACTCATTTAGTGGACTTAGTACAAAAGCGTAATGTATAACATGCTGCTTTCTGTGCAACTACATCAGCTTGGAAGTCTGTAGGATTCAACATTCTTCTTTAGCACAATAATGTGTGAGACAGGATATATTTACATGCAGCAGTTCTTTTGAAAAGCCAGTTCAAAAAGGCTTGTTAGAAAGTTTACCTCATTTTACAGTTTTGCTTTGTGTGGAGATGTGGAACAAGGAAATAACTTTCAGGTAGAGACTGGGAAGGGCAAGTCTAGGGAAAATGCCAAGGAAAGATTCCTTGAGCTCTTTTATAAAACTTCAGAGCAATTTATTTTCCCTTTTTCCGGCTGATTACATATACCTATTGGATAAAGTGCATGATGCCCAACTTGTGAAACTTTCAAAGATTATTCCTTCTTCTTCAGGGAGCACTTAGGCCATGGTGGCAAATGGAATGAGGGGTACCAGGGGCCAAACACAGTGGCTTATGCCTGGAATCCCAGCACTTTGGGAGACCGGGGCAGGTGGATCACAGGAGTTTGAGACCAGCTTGGCTAAAATGGTGAAACCTTGTCTGTTCTAAAAATACAAAAATTAGCTGGGCATGGTAGGGGGCACCTGTAATCTCAGCTACTCGGAAGGCTGAGGGAGATGAATTGCATGAACCCAGGAGGCAGAGGTTGCAGTGAGCTGAGATTGCGCCACTGCACTCAGCCTGGGGGCAGAGCAAAACTCTGTCTGAAAAAAAAAAAGAAAAGAAAAGAAAAGAAAAAAGGGTACCAGGGAGTGGCTTTTATGTGTGCCTGGGAGGGGTACTTAGTCTATACTCCAGCCCCATCCATGGCCTCTATGGTGCCCAGCTTTCCTGAGAAGTATGCTCTGCTCTTATTTCTTTAGAGAGTATCCAGGAAAGTCATGGGTGTTGGATTAAATGCTAGTCTATTCCTAGCAAGAGTCCCCCAGTGGTCCTCTAAAATAATTTATCCTCAGTAACTGGCTAGTTGGTCTGCTAATTACCTTTGGCTAGTCGATCTGCTAATTACCTTTTCTCCCCAAACTTAATAAGATTCTCTTTCCTTTTTCCTCTCTGTGCATCAGTCAGTTTTTACTGCTTCAGGCCCTCCAAACATACTCTGATGACATCTTGTCTTCTGAAACACATACCAAAATTGATCCCACTTCTGGCCCAAGGCTCATAACCCGCAGGAAGAATCTCTCTTATGCACCAGGCTATAGAAGAGATGACCTGGAGATGGCGGCCCTGGATCCTGACTTAGAGAATGATGATTTCTTTGTCAGAAAGACTGGGGCTTTCCATGCAAATCCATATGTTCTCCGAGCTTTTGAAGACTTTAGAAAGTTCTCTGAGCAAGATGACTCTGTAGAACGAGATATAATTTTACAGTGTAGAGAAGGTGAACTTGTACTTCCGGATTTGGAAAAAGATGATATGATTGTTCGCCGAATTCCAGCACAGAAGAAAGAAGTACCGCTGTCCGGGGCTCCAGATAGATACCACCCAGTCCCTTTCCCCGAACCCTGGACTCTTCCTCCAGAAATTCAAGCAAAATTTCTCTGTGTACTTGAAAGGACATGCCCATCCAAAGAAAAAAGTAATAGCTGTAGAATATTAGTTCCTTCATATCGGCAGAAGAAAGATGACATGCTGACACGTAAGATTCAGTCCTGGAAACTGGGAACCGCCGTGCCTCCCGTCAGTTTCACCCCTGGCCCCTGCAGTGAGGCCGACTTGCAGAGATGGGAGGCTATCCGGGAGGCCAGCAGACTTAGGCACAAGAAAAGGCTGATGGTGGAGAGGTCAGAGTGTGCTTCTGCAAGGATTTTGCTTGCGATGGATGATCTTGTGTAACTTTTCTCATGCAAGAAAGCAGCTCATCATGTTGCTCCACTCTGCATGTCGCGTGCCATTTTGAAGCTTCCCGTAAAATTTAATTTGCTTTGAAAAACGCTCATTTTGTAGAGAAAGTGCAATTCCATATTTGCATATCTCTAAATAACTTATTTAGGCCTCTAAATAACTTGTTTAAGACTGCATATACATAAACCTTGCCTTTGACTTAAGCAGTACTGTGGTTCTATTCACCAATATGAAGTTTCATAAAAATGTTTTCCAACTTACATTTCTGTACTTCTCATGTTCAGGCATTTCTGTAACAGTCTGGTGATAGTTTGGTTTTATGTGTCGCTCCCATTTTAGAGTGTCTGATTCTTTTGGGTGGTAAAATTTTCCCTGAAAATATGGCATTGCAAATTTCATTTAACTTAAATTTTTTTTGGCCTAGGTTTCTTGGACTATCATTTGTAACTTATTTTTATTTATAAAGTTCAGTGTAAACATTGATGTTAAAATGCATGAATGGTATTTGTTGTCTGCTGAATTTTGTGTGTATGTAATCATGGCCATTTTGATAGTTCGTATTATGCAACTTGCCTTTTTGATGAATGTTCTGTTTGTGGAACTTAGGGATGGACAAATCTGATTAGGTTGAATAAAATTAGAGGATCCAAATCTAACGTAACAGTTCCTGACAATGGGAAGCCTTTTCTTATGGATTTGTTAGCTCAGAGTAAATTGAGGAAATTCTTCATATTGCTTAATCTGAATTTCCTGAGATAGGAAATTGATGAGAACTTGAGACATGATCAAGAATGTGATGGAAGAAGTGACCTTTTGAGATTTGTCCGTTTCCAATTAGATTCTTAAGTGAAAGACATTGACTGTTTAGAAACTAATATGACTGGGAAAAATGACTTTTTAATTTTTGGTTTTCTGGTTTCTTAGACTCTTTCAAAAGATTTATGGTGAGAATGGGTAAGTTATGTGGTTCACAGTAAAAAATCTGTGCCTATTGTTTGTTCTTTGTATAATTTACCGTATTTCTGGCATGGCATGTCACTAAATGGGGATGTTGTGTGCTGTGCATGAGATTTTTTAAATGGGAAATGTTTGTTTTGCAACCTAATGGCAATATTTCTGTGTCTTGGTGCCCAGTGCATGACAAAATTATTTTATTAAAAATTTAAACTTTAGCTCCATCCCTTCTTTTTTCCTTTTTAAAAATTTAGTGAGTTGATTAAAAGTAACAAAAGCACTTGCCTAAGTTTAGGTATATATATTTTGGTATTTGGTTGCTACATGGATTAAAATTCTGATTTATGGATGCTAAAGCCCAAGTTACTACATTTTAGAAAATCAGTGATGGAAAAAGAATATTAGTATTTACTTCGAGTTTAGAATACACCCAGTTGACATTATCCATATAATCGGCCCACTGGGAACTTCATTAGTAGGGATGCGTTAATCTTCCCTAGGTGGTATTTGGAAGTAATATATTTTCAAGATTCCTGATCAGGAAAAAAAGGTATAATATGGTTATGTTTATGGTGCAAAATTGGCCTTCAAAAACTGCAAAAATCTTCTTAATTTCTAATGTCATTGTCGCAAAAACTACATTTTTTTTTTTTTTGAGACGGAGTCTTGCTCTGTCGCCTGGGCTGGAGTGCAGTGGTGCAATCTTGGCTCATGGCAACTTTCACCTCTCAGGTTCAAACATTTCTCCTGTCTCAGCCTCCTGAGTAGCTGGGACTACAGTTGCATGCTACCACACTCTGCTAATTTTTGTATTTTTAGTAGAGATGGGGTTTCACCAGGTTGGTCAGGCTGGTCTCAAATTCCTGACCTCAGGTGATCCATCCACCTCAGCCTCCCAAAGTGCTGGGATTACAGGCAAATCTACATTTATAGTAAATCATTTATTCATTCTTAGTACAAAATCACAAGGTGGCTGTATCTTAATATTTTCCACCAAACTTTCTGTAACTTTGTGTATCTAAGGGCCAATAGTGTTTGAGCAGGAGGAAGAGAGTTAAAGGATGAAAATGTTTTAATCTGCTCAGGCCTTAGTCTTCCCTTACAAGATTTACTTCATCTATAAGAATCTCTAGTTTTGATAGCTTTTTATAATTTTGATAATTCAGAAATGTTGGAAACTACTAAACGTAAAGCAGTGTAACCATTCTAGATGCCAAAGGTGTAACTGAGCCATAGGCAACAAATTGCAAGTACTTGTTAGCCACTGATTTTAAAAACCAGGGTCCCTGCATGCTTTCCGTGTGCCATGCAAAGGCACATTATCCCCTTTCCAGCTCATCTGCATGACGCTTAAGCATTTGCTACTTTCAAGTCATAGGAAAGCTGTTTTAACTTGATTAAAAATCTCTTTGCAGCTTTAAGCATGTTGAATTGTAACTTTCGGAAAAATTTTCATTTGTAAATTAAATATAACTTTATAATGTAAGCAGCTCTCAGAAATAGTTGCTTTTCTTAAAGGGAATACAAGTACCCAGAGTACAAGTATGTGTTGGGAATGCCAACATGTACAACCATTTCAGTGGCTGGATGTGTTCCCCGTAGTGAGGGGTAAATTATATGACTGAGTTAGAGAAGAAGACAGAAACCTAAAACCAAAACTTGAAAAGCCAAAGATTTTTCTGGATTAGAGCTAACAGCAGCAAATGTTTTCTATCCCAAGATAGTTGTTCGGATAGTACAATATTTGTTTTAAAGGCTGTTCTGCATGCAGTTCAATGCCAAGGTAACTACACAAATAAAGCAAGATTGTCTGTAAATTGAGACTGAATAATGCACGATGTGTCAAACGATGGAAAGTATTATATGAATGTGTCCTCAGAAAACTCAAGTGTGTTTTGGACCACTTGAAGTCAATTAAGTCAAATCTGTAACAAAGGATTTTTCTGTATAGTCTGTCAGTTACCAGGCCTTTTTTTTTTTTTTTTTTTTTTTTAAGAGATGGAGTCTTGCTATGTTGCCCAGGCTGGTAGGCTGGTCTCGAGCTCTTGGGCCCAAGCATTCCTCCTGCCTTGGCCTCCCAAAATGTTAGGATTACAGATGTGAGCCATCAGGCCTGGCCTACTGGTACTTTTCTTAAGTAGATCTGCTGCAGTGAAAAGAAAATAGAAATTTAAATTGGATTAAGTGTAGGCTTTTAATCTAGAACCTGTTTCATGTTTATGCTGGGTGATATTTCTCTGAACATAATGTTCGTTGTCAAGCTTGGCATAGTTACCTGGAAAACCATTATTGCTCAACATGCTGTCATTGAAAAATAACTGCCTCTAACATGAATGCTTTCTTTTTTGTGAGGACTGGGTTAAAGAGAAATGTGCAGTATCTTTTGAAGTCTGAGACTGTTAATTTCTGCCTTGCTTTTTATTTGGCATTTAACACCTGTCAGTTTGCTTGTTTGTTTTTAAGACGCTTTGTGTGTGGTAGTCATTTCTTCTATGCACTTTCATCTTGCATGGATTTATGTCTGTATGGTTTCATGAAACTTGAAAATTTGGTCATGTGTTTTGGCAGAAGCAATTTATGACAAAATTTGTTGTAAGAATATGTAGAAATAATCTTGTATGTGATTGAGCTGTTGAATCTGTTGCCAGTGTTAATAGGAAATGAACACTGATTTCACATGAAGTTGTAATAAAAGACAATTAAGTCACCTACATTTCACTTATGGGTTTGGCCAAAAGATTCTGTAGAATTATAAAGGCTTATGACACCAAAAAAGAAAGGGAAAAAAAACCAATGTCAGTTATTTCTAGGGATTTCCCTCCACCCCCAGGAGACATTTGGCAATGTCTGGAGGCATTTTTTATTGTCCTATTGGGTGGGTGGGGGTGTGTGCGCTACTGGCAACTAGTGCCTTCGTAGCCAGAGATGCTGCTAAATGGCCTACAGTACACAGGAGTGCCTACAACAGTTTTCTTGACCCAAAATGTCAGCAGTGGTGCTACTGAGGAACCCTCACTGAGAGTATACATCTGTAAACGAAAAATCTTCATCACATTGCCTTTTTATTCTAGTGTGTGGTAATTCCAAAGCCTCTTGCCCAAGTTTTAGCATTGATTGCTCTTCAGAGAATTCCTGTAGTACCTAATGGAAATACACTAAGAGGTACATAAATCAGTATATTCCTATCTCCCTCCAAAAGTTGGGGAACCTTAACCCTAGTATCATGGAATTTCTGTTTGCTGTATAAGTCTATCCATGATTTTATATTTCAGAAAATTTGCCACGTTCTGGTCCTTTTTGATCCATTACTCCTTAGATTTTCACCTGTAAAGTTCCTGGAAGTGAGTTCTAAAAGGAAACGCCTTAAAACTAGCCAAAAAGTGCCAGGAGCATAGTAGGCAACCTGCATAGTGGGAGAAGAGAGTGAGACTTTAGCAACCTTGTTTGTGATTGACAACTTCTTCCTTAAACTTCCTCTTTTTCCTTCTAAATGCTATTTTAAAAAAATTCTGTTCAACAGAAAGGCAAGATGCTAGATCTGTATTTTTTGGAAAAACTCCAGTTGCAGTTCTAAATTGGAGCCTTTCCAAATAAGGAAATACAAATGAAGCAGGACTTGTAAGAGACATATGATGTGATTTGCCAGTTAATCATCCTTCATTCAACACAACATACTAGAGCCGCGCAATCCTTCATAGTTTCCCCAAACAATTTTCCTGATGCTATCTCTGGTACTTATCTCAAATCTGTGAGGCCGACATATAGGGATGTGGAGATAGAGAAACAAATATTGCAGCTTTCCCAAGGACATGTGGCTTGTGAGTGGTAGAACCGGACTAGGGCTTTGCCTCTGAGATAATTCACGTAGACTGCTTGGCGAGGTTGCTGGCACACACAGTAAGCCCTCAGAAGCTGAATATTATGCCATTAATGCTGATAAGGGAAGGAAGAATTCTTTGTGATCTGGCCTGAGAGACTCCTTCCTCTACTACAAAAGTTCTGGATTTTATCACTGTAGTCTGGGGTGACCTCTTGAATTTGAAGCAGCTTAGAGAGTTAGCTTTTGGGAGATCCCAAGCAATCATGTTCGCTTTAATGAGAATTAGTATATGGCCCAGAAGGTTTTAAAAATGCAACCCACACAGTCAAATCCAGTTCTCATAACAATCCCTTCCTCACTTAGCAGGTGAGAAATGGGAGCTCGGAAGTGAACTGATGTGTGTTAGGGTGGGGTGAAAACTGGCACCACGGCTGGGCCTGCAGCCCTCTCCTCCTGGCTCGTTGCGGTGCCCAGCTCTGGCTGCTATACAATGTGTGCAGGCTCAATGTGGGTAACCTTTTTTTACCCTAGGGAGTGAACTGTGCTCCCATTCCTGCCTTACACGGGGACTTGTCTACTCCAGAGTGTATTTGGTTCACTTTGTTCACATTAAGGACTGCCTGTGTGCCAGGCTCTGCTCCGTGTTGGGGACACCCAGGAGGAGAATGCAGCCTCTGCCCTTGAGAAGCACATTTCACGGGAAGACACCTTAGCATTGCCTGGTGTAGAAGGATTAGGGCCAAAGGAAAGCAACCCTGGGAGCTGCTGGGCCTTCTAGCCTTCCTCCCATCAAAAGATTATTAAACTATTAGCATCCCTTTTTTTGTTGTTTGTTCTGGAGTTTATGTAATCTCGTGTGTTGAGTGTCTAGATACCACTCATGCCTGGTTCTTGAAAAATTTTTCCTGCCTCCTCTTAGTGAGTCTGTCATAGTATTAGTTCAAATAGCCTCATTCTTCACAGTGTGACTTACATGAATTTATATTCTCAAATTCACACAAATCAGTTTTATAAGTAGTCATACCTAGTTAGATATATTACATTAATAGATCCATCTATATTCATATATGTCCTCATATATTCTCTTGATATAGTTTATTCCTTAATAGTCCTTAATAAATCCTGTAGAACTTTCTTCATAGAACTGTGGATAGCCATAATAACCTTACAAAAAGAATTAGAAACATTTTAAGTGTAGTAAATTTTACTTGATTAAATGTTAGAAAACCTACCTCATTCTTACCACAGACATTGAATGAGTATATCCTGCATGCCTTGTGCTGCTAATAAGGTTTCCTCCTAAGCAACACACGACTTGTGAGGAAGGGAATCCAAGCATGCACGTGCACACACAGACACACATGCACTGTAACAGACAGAAGGCTGAGGGTTCAGTACCATGATAAAGTTGTAGCTGAGGCAGTAGAGGGGTTGAGAGAAGGGACAGAGCAGCTTTGATATGGATGAGCTGGGAAGACTTCATCAAAGTGCTCAATATTATCTAGATCATTAATTTAACACATTTATCAAGCACCTACTGCAGGCTGGGCTCCCCTTCAGGTACAGGTGATCTACCAGCAAGCAAATCAGAAAATTCCTGCTTTATAATCTTACAGGGCAAGGCAATGATATGTAAATAAATGTACATGATGGCGAGAAATGATATGAAGGAGAAAGGACTAGGGACAGGATGGGTCAGGGGAGAGGGGCATTTATTGTTTCTGGCAAGGTGGTCAGAGAAGGAAACACAGAGGGCACATTTAAGCAGATGCCTGGAAGTGAGAGAGGAGCTATGTGGATATCTGGGTGAAGAGCATTCCAGGCAGATTGAGGAGTAGGGGGGAAAGCAGGAGGTGTGAGCAGGGCAGGGAGGCCAGTTGGCTGGAGCAGAGAGTGGGGGCATGGTGCCGATGAGCACAGAGAAGTAGTAGGAACCAGGGATGGCAGACCTCTTAGGTTTTGGAAGAACCTGCCTTTAATTTAACTCTAATGAAATAGGAAGAAAGTAGTGGGTGCTGAGTAGAGGTGTACTGTGATCTGAGTGCAGTCTGAAAGGACCTGTCTGGCTGCTGTTGGGTAGGAAGTGGTGGAAGCAAGGAGGCTGTTGTAATCCAGGTGGGTGATGTGATGTGATTATTATAATAATTGTAATAATCTGGGTAGGAGATGATGTGATAATTGTTATAATCCAGGTAGCAGATGTGATTATTGTAATAATTGTAATCATCCAGGTAGGAGTCACTTGGATCAGGGTGTAATGGTGGAGGTGGTAAGAAGTGATTGTGTTCTAGATACATTTAGAAGGCAGAGGGACAGGATTTACTGATGGGACCAGTTACGGTATATGAGAGAAAGAGAGGAATCTGGGATGACTCCAAGATGTGTGCCCTAATGTTGGGAAGGATAGAGGTGACCTTTACTGATACAAGGAGAGTGAGAGCTGAGCAGGTTGTGAAGGGGACAATCAGGTTTTTTCTGTGACAAACCTGAGGCCTACTAGACTTCCAAGTGGAGAATGAATAGGAAGTTGGAAATACCTGTCCGGGGGTCCTGAGGTATGAATGGCAATTAAGAAGTTAGGTATACTGGTAAGGGGCTTTTGAATCAGAGGAAATAGTTTGTTGAAACTGGAGTTTGGGTATTAATTCAAGAAGCCATTTTGGAAGTCTAGGTGAGTTGACTGTACTCTGATCTAGGGTGTTGGCAATAGAGATGGAAAGAAAGAGACACTGAATGAAAGGACTTGATAACTAATGGAAAGTGGGGAGAAGGGAGAAACAAAGGTGCAAAGTGTGGTTCTTAGGTTTCAGATGTGAATGACTGGAGGGCAGGTAGCAACATTAGTAACCACAAGAGGAAAAGCAGGTTTGGGGACAAGGTTGAGTTTGGTCATATCAACAATAACCATGCATTTAGTGAGTTACAGTTTACAAAATCCCTTCTAGTTATTATTTTAATCAGTCCTTTGCCAATTGAAGAAGTGCCTAGGGGATATCCATGCAGAAATATTTATTCAAGAAGCAATTGGAAATGAGTCAAAGGAAGGACTGGTTCCTTAATTATGGAATTGGGAATCGTTTAGAAATTATAATTCCATGAGCTAGCTAAGCTAGGAATTCCTGAACAGCTAGGAGCAAACATGCTTTAAAAGAAATAATGATGGCACCATCTTGGAAGACAAAATTTAGATGCCCAGGCAGGGGGTGTACAGTTACTTAAATAAAGTCAGGAGTGCAGTATAAAAGATCAGTGGGAAAGAGCTTCAAAGGCTCTTTCTCGCATTCCTACTTGCTCCTCAGTATTTAGATCTGACCTCTCCCTTTTCTTGAGACCACTCTCAATCTTTCTTTCCCCTCTGGTATAGTTTACCCGGCTCTTGGTTATGTGCATGTAGAGAGCACACATGTACCTGTGCCCAACACGCCACTCTGTTCATTGGTTTCTACTGTGGATTGAACTCTTCCAAAGCTTAACCTCAGTCCATCCTTGTGTTACAAGTTGAATGCATGCAAGTTGCCCTAATAGAAGAGGAGGGTTATAGAGGTAGTTATAAAGGACTATTAGAAACTATCTGTGGTGCTTTGAGAACAAGTCTAGTGCACTGGTAGGGCAGATCTTATAGAACCTTTTAGAATCAGCAGCACATTTATTCATGGTATTGAACTTGAGGAGAAAAATATCAGGTAAACTTTAAATTATTAATGAGTGCCCAGAAAAGGCAGCCAAACCTCAACAGATTATCTTTGAAGGAGATAGAAAATAAAGAGAGTGACTCTTTTTTTCCTAAAGTAATCCTTTTATGCATTGACCTCTCTAAATATGAACCTTGGGGAGTTTTTTTGAGACTTGTATAGGGCTAATCTAGCCATTTTGTGAAAAAATTCACACTCGAGTGCTAGGCTCTTATTTCTGAGTTTTGGAAAAACACCATTTATCTCTGTAGCGCTACTTCTGTGACACTATCACTGAAGTGTCTAGGTAGAAATTTAGGTGGAATTTCCAAATATAAGTCCAACCTCAGTTTAACCCCTAAGTCTGGTCATGTGAACTTCTGTAGTAACCATGAGTCTTTTTGTTGTAGGAGTAAGTCCATGAGCGATGTCAGCGCAGAGGATGTTCAAAACTTGCGTCAGCTGCGTTACGAGGAGATGCAGAAAATAAAATCACAATTAAAAGAACAAGATCAGAAATGGCAGGATGTGAGTATTTTGAGGGTAGCGGGAGGGAGAGTGTATTTGTTTGACTTTTCTTTGCTTCTCTGAAAGTCTATATACCCAAGACCATTTTCCTTGCTATTACAGAATTTGGTTCTATATAAAATGTGACCAACTTCCTTTACAAAGATTTTTAAACCTTTTTTTTTTCTATTATTGTTGCATATTTTAAAGGCCATTGTGAAAAATATACCTGAATGTTTATTTTCTAATATTCTCTGAGTTCTTAAAAACGTGAGTTGCTTCCTTGCAGTATGGTGAACTTATTTACTTGTTTTGGTGGTTGAATTTTGGATATGCACATTAACTATACTTCTGATGGGAAAGACCTGGCCAAAGTTTAGGGAGAGAAGAGGAACAGGGTTCTGGCAGAGACCTTGGCATCAGTAAGGAAAGATGAAAGTTAGTAATTAAGAGTTAATTAGGGAGATTTGGGGAGAAATAAGTAATATAACTCAGAGCAATATTTTGGCTGAAGAAGTCAATAATATGAATCAAAATGAAATGTTTTTTGCAGAGTTGACATATATCCAGGTGTTTATATAGATATAGACTTACTCTTTAGTTTTGATCCTGAAGAAAAAAAAGCTTGACCATTTTTTTGAATAGAGTAATTGTGATAAACTGAAGAAATGCAAAGAAATACAGTAGACAAACTATCAGAGCAAACCCAAAGAAATTTGAGGACAACTTTATGGTGAGAGTTGAGCAATAGCATGAACAAAGGAGTCAAAGTAAATCTTAATTTTCAAAGGCATTAATAGTCTCTGAAATGAAGAAACCTCTGCCCTGGCTACCTTTCTAAATTCTGGTGCCTCTTTTAATTGGGAACTCAATTTAATTGTCAAGAAACAGTAATTCAGTATCACTTTGCCAAAATACACGGTGAATTTTCTGGTGTGAAAGTAAGTATTAAGGGCTTATCTGTTAGGTTAAATCAGGTAAAAATTCATGCCAGTTATGCTGTAGGACTAAATGTGCATTGCTTTTGTTCTTTCTGGAAGGAGTTCATATTGGTCACAGGCTGTTTTTAAAGCAGGAGTGGCTCTGTGGGCTTGCAAGGGGTATAAACCAAATGTACTTTGCATGCCCTGGGGGTGAAATTCGGTTTTGTCTGAGACCTTGAATGTGCTTCTGTTTGGACTGGAATGCCACTAACAGTTCCGAGCAGTTCTCTATTTTGGAGACGTGGAAAACTTTATACCTTGCAAAATGTCTTAACCCCCTGGGTCTCAGAACCAGCCTAGGTTTCTGGGGAGATTTGAAAAGCTGAATTAGGTTGATTGTCCCTGGGGTCACCCAGCAAGGTTAGACTTAACGTTCCTGGGGATATGGGGGACAGGTGTTGGTTTGTTCCTGCCGCATGTTCCTTATTGCCCTAACCTAGGAGGATTTAACCCTTCTGAAATCACATACTCAAGTCTCGCCTTCCCAGTTAAAGCCTTTCCAAAGCCTCCCCTTCCGGAGGTAGAACCAGACCCATGGTCTCCTTAGGACCCCACTGTCTCATGCAATCCTGTCACACTTGTTACTGAACTTTTATTTATATATCTGACTCTCCCTGTAGACTGAGAGTTTCTTGAGGGGAACCCCGCCCTATGCATGTATGTATTAATAGTTCCTACACTTGGGCCTGCCTCAAAGTAGGGACTGAGCTCTGTTTGTGAAATGAAAGACAGACTGTGCATCTGCGCTTAGCCATCACAATCGCGTTTCTGTTTCGGCCTTACTAGTGAAACATGTTGTTTCGCAGAACAGCCAGGTTTTTGGAATGAGATGAAAACGAATTGGAAACAGTTCCTGATCTAACTAACTGTCACCTAATTACAAGCATTTAGCATTCTTTGTGAAGTGTGCAATGAGGCAGATACTTTCTGGGAAAACAAAAATGGGGTCTATCTTATTAGGTCAGGTTTTTCAGACAGACACATGAGATAAAGGCTTGGTACAGAAACGCTGGCTATAAAAAGCAAAATTAGGGCACCTTGGCACCCAGTTGGAGCGAATAGTTTCAGTGATGTAATAAGATACTCTGGCACATTCTGGCTGCTAGAAAGGGTGTGTAGAAATTCAGGTGTGCCCCTGCTGATGTGATTTTTCTGTCAGGACCTTGCAAAATGGAAAGATCGTCGAAAAAGTTACACTTCAGATCTGCAGAAGAAAAAAGAAGAGAGGGAAGAAATTGAAAAGCAGGCACTTGAGAAGTCTGAGAGAAGCTCTAAGACGTTTAAGGAAATGCTGCAGGACAGGTAATATTGCTGAATGCACCTCGGTTGTAACAGGGTTGGAGACGCCAGTGTTATAAATAGGTATTTTGTGTAAGTGTAGTGTGACGTAAGTGTCCACCAATATTCAACTTTAATCAAATACGCAAAGAAACATTTAAGATTTTGGTCTGCAGTGAAAAAACAAAGCATTGTTGAAATAGTGACTTAGAGTAACAAAATAAATGAGGACTTAAAATAGGTGTTCATTATTTCTTCTCTTACATTGCGCATTCACATGCAGAATTGGATGGTGTTGGCTATGTTTGGTGCAGGAAATACACTGCTTTACACTCTTAAGTGAATTAAGGAATGAGATCTTCCAATAAAATCAACTTACTTTTAACTAAATTGTATAAAACATAACAAAGTTCTTTTTCATGTTTAATAGTGCAATTCATTATATTTTAAAGAAAGTTTTAATAAACATAATTGTGTGTGTTTTACTTACTCTTTGCATTGCAGTGTAACAGTATAAAGGTTAAATTTAAACTTTCCTGTAAAGCATTCATTATTCTGTGAAATATTAGGATATTTACAGGTCGAAGAGAAGGAAAATATGCTTTTAGAATCATGTCAAAAAGGAAATACACTATCTGGTGAAATGAAACAAATCTGCTTTCTGCCCTAAAGGCGAATGATAAGCAGTTTCATTCATTTGGATGCAATTCAGTTAGCTTGGGAGGTGGGTATTCCTTTCTAAATGTGAGAGATGAGGGTGTTTCATGAACCTTCCCATAAATACGAATGGTGACTTTTAATCCCTAGTAATTGTTCTGGCAAGTTCTGTCAAGCTATATGAAATCATACACTAGTTTGATCTCTACAAAAGCCTGGGTCTTTTGTAATCTTTTATTTTTACTAAATTATTATAAATTTTTGCAGGAAAATATCCTCACAAGGCTGCCAATTAATCCACAACTTTGGAAGGTTCAAGTTAGTTGTCAGTCATGATATTTACAGTGTTTTAATTTTGAAAGTTATAAGCTTGTGGATAAAATTTTGTGAATAATCCTTTATTAAAATTTCCTTGTTTCATTAAAAATCTCTTTACAATTAATATCCCAGTGAAGTATTTGAGAACCTTTTTAATTAAAGAAGTCAATTATTATTCTTTCTTTGTTGGGACATTAAAGATAATTATATACATCTTGCTGGGCGTGGTGGCTCACGCCTGTAATCCCAGCACTTTGGGAGGCCAAGGTGGTTGGATCACAAGGTCAGGAGTTTGAGAGGTCAGGAGTTTGGCCAATGTATTGAAACCTCGTCTCTACTAAAAATACAAAAAAAATTAGCCGGCCATGGTGGCGTATGCCTGTAATCCCAGCTACTTGGGAGGCTGAGGCAGGAGAATTGCTTGAACCCGGGAGATGGAGGTTGCAGGTGAGCCGAGATCACGCCACTGCCCTCCAGTCTGGGCAACAGAGTGAGACTCAGTCTCAAAAGAAAAAAAAGAAAAAAGAAAAAAAGAAAAAAGATAATTATATACATCTTTATGCTCTGTAAGTGTTGTATTGATTCTCGTGTGAGGTTAGCAGCTTTTTATTCCCAGTCCATTTCATGTGTTGATTACTCTCTCACCACCTGTCTGTGTCAAATGCATATCTTTGTGGTGATGGTACATTTCTTTCTGCTAAGGGAATCCCAAAATCAAAAGTCTACAGTTCCTTCGAGAAGGAGAATGTATTCTTTTGATGATGTGCTGGATGAAGAAAAGCGACCCCCTACACTGACTGTGTCAGAAGCAAGTTACCGGAGTGAGAGAGTAGAAGAGAAGGGAACAACTTATCCTTCAGAAATTCTCAAAGAAGATTCTACAACTTTTGCAAAAAGAGAGAACAGTGTAACAACTGAAATTCAGCTTCCTTCTCAAAGTCCTGTGGAAGAACAACGCCCAGCCTCTTTGTCTTCTCTGCGTTCACTGAGCACACAAATGGAGTCGACTCGTGTTTCAGCTTCTCTCCCCAGAAGTTACCAGAAAACTGATACAATCAGGTTAACATCTGTGGTCACACCAAGACCTTTTGGCTCTCAGACAAGGGGAATCTCATCACTCCCCAGATCTTACACGGTAAAAAATGTTCTCAGTTCATTTAGTCTGTTCTGAAGAGCAAAATGTTGGTGAACTTGTGGAGAGGTTGGGGTTACATCAACTTTATGTATAAACTGTACATGCCATATATAAGGATGTTTTATTTTATGCCAGTTTAGATGCAATGGAAACTTAATGCTTAAGATAGATCAATTATACAGAATTTACTAAACTTTAAATTATGTGAAAGTATGGCTGATACATTTTAAAGAATGAAGAAGATATATTCTAAGGCAGAGTATTATTTTATAATGTCATTTTTTTAGATGTACCTTTTCTAAAGTATTAGGTTGAAAAGTATGAAGTTGTCAGTATGATTGTTCTTCTTGACCTATAAAACAGCATTTCATGTAGTTTAGCCTAGAGATTTTCAGGTGCTTATGTATACATTTCTGCTTTTTTCAGATTTCTCACTTTATCAGTTTGAATGTCTTACTGTTTATATGTATGCATTTCTATTAATATCAGGATTTTGAAGGATGTAGAATATTGCGGCATTTTTTTTCTGAGAATGAAGTGGTACCATATCCGACAATGAGTGTGCTAATCTGAATTATGTGAAAGAAAGCAACACAGTGCTAAGATTAATGTTCAAATTCTTTTTAGCTCTGCTAATGTAGAATCCTAAACTCTAAAAGGGTATAAAAAATTGGATATTTGGGGTGAGAGAAGCCTACCTAAACTAATTGGGAAACTCCTGACCATTATATAAAGGAAAATGTAGACATATCTGACATTATAAGAATTTCATAGCAGACTTCCTTAATATAGTCAAAAGACAATATATAGACTCAGAAAAATATTATTAAAATGTATGGTAGATAAAGAGTTAATATCTCTAAGATAGAAAATGCTTCTACAAATTGGTAAGCAAACACACTAGCAAAATGAATATAGAAAAGTAGTGGCCGGTTCAAGGGAGAAGGGATTCAAATGGCTGGTAACAAAGCACAAAGAAGTATGTTCAGCTTCCCTGGAGCAAGAATGAGACGTATAACTTTACCCATGGGAGTGATATAGACTTAGAACATTGAAAATGTCTAGTGTTGGCAAGGATGCTGAGAAACAGATGTTCTCATACATTACTTCTGGAGTGTGTTGCTACAATTATCTTTAGAAACTATATATATATATAAAACTTTTGCTCCAACAAGCCTACTTTTGGAAATCTGTGCTATAAAAATAAAAGTTCCAATTATAAAGAGATATGGATATTTGTTGCAGTAGTTTTGGAAGTAACAGAACATTTCAAACAACTTTAAATGCACATCAAATGAATAAATTGTTGATGTCCATACTATGGAATATTCAGCAAGTAAAGGGACTGGTTTAGAGTTCTATCTGTTGACCCGGAGTGATCAGCAGATAGAACACCAAGGCCTTTTGGCTCTCAGCAAAGGGGAATCTCATCACTCCCCAGATCTTACATGGTACAACATGTTCTCAGTTCATTTAGTCTGTTCTGAGGAGCAAAATGTTGGTGAACTTGTGCAGAGGTTAGAGTTACACCATCTTGATGTGTAAACTGCACATAACACATGTATATATGGCAATTTTTTTTAACGCCAGTTTAGATTCAGTGGAAATTTAATGCTTAAGATGTTTGCTTGGAGTAAACAAGCAAAGCAAATTTCAGAAGTTTGTATGTGATATGAATGCTTTTGCTAAAACAATTTCCCCCACTACATGTGTGTTTATCTATCGGTGTGAAAGAACTCAGCCCAAGCTTTTAGTAATAGTTATGTTACTGTGGGTGGTGTGCTATTTTAGTTTTAAAATTTTAATTTAATAAACAACTTTTTAAAACAGAAATAAAGGTAACAGAATATCAAGTTTAAAATGATGTTTTCTTATTTAGATGGATGATGCTTGGAAGTATAATGGAGATGTTGAAGACATTAAGAGAACTCCAAACAATGTGGTCAGCACCCCTGCACCAAACTCGGATGCAAGCCAACTGGCTTCAAGCTCATCTAGCCAGAGAGAGGTAGCAGCAACAGAAGAAGATGTGACAAGGCAGCCCTCTCCTACATCCCCCTTCTCATCTCTTTCCCAAGACCAGGCTGCCACTTCTAAAGCCACACTGTCTTCCACATCTGGTCTTGATTTAATGTCTGAATCTGGAGAAGGGGAAATCTCCCCGCAAAGAGAAGTCTCAAGATCCCAGGTGAGTTGGGGAAAGTTCTTTATCATCTGTGGCTCAGACACTTATGCATTTAAATCTGGAAACCATATCTCAAACGTCAAACCTCTAGGTATTAATCTGGGCTGAAAACGTGCAAAATGACATTCTGGTTTACTTTGAACAGATCTTGGAGGAAGTAGGTGTCTTTCCACTCTGAGTGCATAGATTCAGATAACACTTGTGATGTGAGTGTATGGAGACTTTGTGCACCAGTCTCCTTGGGATTTGGCTGGTGTTTTCTCTGTATTCCACATTTCAGTAGTGGTTGCCTTGTACTGCTAGTGCCCAGTAGTCCCAGGTTTCAGGTACAGTCGTCACTCTGAAGGTTTTAGATGCAGATCTAGTGTATATATGGGTGACAGAAGCCCTTTCCCAGGGAACTTAACTGGCCACAAGGAAAAATTGATGCACATGATAGGTGCTGGCCTCTAGGTACATGGCATTTCTTTTTCGATGATTTTAACCTTCTAGTGACTTTTAATACTATTTTATACTTTAGAATGTCTATAATTTCCGATGTTTCCTTATCTCTGAATGGGACTATGGAGGCTTAGTTATAATATGACAATAGTATTCCACAACTTTTGGAGTCCAAACAAAATATACCATCAGATGAAGAATGACATGTGTAGTTTTTCCTACTTAAATTTCTAATAGATGACTTCTAAGGGAATGATTAAGTAATAAATGTTCTTTGTAGCCCACCTGTAAAACATGCCAAAAGTCTTTGGATAACAGAAAACTTCTCTCAGAAAAATTCTTGCTAAGCATTTTGATAGTTTTATGAACCCCTTAGCATGGAGGAGCTTTTGTTCTTTGGCTTGGTTTAGTATTCTTTGTTGCCCTGAAAAACATTAATTGTGTATTATATACATTAAGTGGGTGTGTATATATGACTTGTCCTAAGTTATATTAGTATTTGTGTGTGTATGTGTGTGTGTGTATATGTATATATGACTTGTCCTAAGTTAGATTTGTGTGTGTGTGTGTGTGTGTGTGTATGTATATATGACTTGTCCTAAGTTATATTAATGAAATAACTTGATGTGAAATAATTTGGCATTGCATATTTATTATTATTGAGTTTTTATTTGTATGGGAAAACTTAAAACATTTAAACTCCCTTTTCTGGTTATAAGGTACTATGTGCTTGAGAAAATTTGGAAATGCAGGAAAGTATAAATAATTTAAATCGCTGATAATTCCATCATTTAGAGATAATCACTGTTAACATCTAGGTATATTTCTTTTGTTTTTTTTTCCCCCATGCATATTTACAGACATATATCTAAAAACAATTTCTTCAGCTTGCTGAAATAATTAGTTGTAAATTATCATTACATTTTTTAAGGAATTGGAAATATATAATTAGCTTCCTAAGTCTCAGTGGAGGAGAACAATAGCCTGTATTATACTTGGGGAACATAAGATACCAGTGGATGAATAATAAAAGCAGAAGCAAAGTGCCTTTTGTTTCACGGATTTGTATGTTTGCCTTTACCTTTTTCAAACAGCAAATTCAACAAAACAGCCTGAATCACGTGCTGCACGCTGGGTGTTGGTGCCTTTCTCAGGGTGCTGACTAACTGCAACTGTGGATTAAGGAAAAGAGGCTAAGTGTGGTGCGTGGGTGTGTCTCAGGTTATTGCAACTCAGAGGGAGCTTCAATTAATGTGGCACTGTTTCAGGTTTCATCATTAATGGATTTATACTTCTTTGTTCGCAAACCTGAGATGGTATTCCACCAAGAAAAATTAGGCTTGATTTGATAAGTGAAGCCATTGGAATTCTTTAATGTAGATATAATTCATATGGTGACTTACATATCTCTGATGCTTGGTGTGTCCTTTTCTGCACCACTAGGGCAGTAGCTTCTATAGCATGCCCTTGCCTTTGTCTCAGAAGGAGCTTACTGACTTGAGAGAAGGATGTGAATGTGTGTGACAGCTGCTGATCAATATGTAAAGGGCCTGTGCAACACTCCCCCAAACTCCATTCAGACACTATAACTCTAGGTGTTCAGAGGACAGCAAAATCAAGAGTAGCTTGTGGCTGATCATCTAAATGTTTCAGTAGCTCTGTGGAAGAATGTTTTTGAGGTCATTTTTCTCTTTCATACTTTGGACTTTTACTGGCACTGTCCTTTCGTCTCTTCCTCCAGACTCCCCCGTTGATGTTATTCTTTTCTTTTTCTTTTTCTTTTTTTGAGATAGGATCTTGCTGTTTTGCCCAGGCTGTAGTGCAGTGGCATGATCATGGCTTATTGCAGCCTTAACCTCCTGAACTCAAGCAATCCTCCCACCTTAGCCTCTTGAGTAGCTGGGACTGTAGGCACATGCCACAGCACCCAGCTCATTTTCGTATTTTTTTGTAGAGATGGGCTTTCACCATGTTGCCCAGGCTGCTCTCGAACCCCTAGGCCTGATCCACCCATCTTGGCCTCGAAAAGTGCTGGGATTACAGGTGTTAGCCATTACGCCTAGCTGATGTTATTCTTTTTTATCTTGGCTTCCACTATGCTAATTCAGGCCCTTTTCCTATCAGTGCAAATGGTCACAGGTGTTAGTACATGCTACACAAGACTGGCATCAGATTAACTTGCCTGATGCCAGGTTGGACTCAGTAATTTCTCTGCTCCAAAGCCTGTAGTGGCACTGTGTGGTTTGCTGAATGAAGTTTGTGGCGCTCAGGGAAGCAGTGATATCTCTCATGCCCTTTGTAGCACAGTCACAGCTGATGTTAGCGTGCTTACTATGTACCAACCAGGCTTCTCAGGGCAGTATCTTAGTTAATCCTCACAGCAGCCCTGTGAAGTAATCAACAATCCGAATGTGGACTATCATGATTACCCCTATTTTAGAAACATAAAACTTGAGGCATGGCATGGGCATGTTACTTGTCCAAGGCCATGCAGGGTACCAAGTGGAGTCAGGATTTGAATCCAGGCAGTCTGACTCAGGATTTAGTATCATGTTATGCTATCATGCTATGTCCTGGGAAAGAGAGATGATTCACCTGCATAAGGCTGCTTACTTTTTCTTGGATACATCATGTACTTTTTGGAGCACATCACTGCTCCCCCATTTGAAGATGCTTATTTCCCACATCTCTGCCTTTTGAGGTCCTATTGTTCCTCAAAAGCCCAGGAGCACCACTTCGTTCATGAATCAAGATATCACCCCTCCCCCATTGGAATCAAACTTCTTACCCTTGAAAAGTTTCACTCACTGAATTTTTCCTTGTCCCATGTAGTTACCTGTTCCTCCTTCACTGGTATTCTTTGTACATTCTTACACGTAATTGACCCTTAAGTTTTACTGACTTGAACGGCATTCAAAGCCTTGATTACCAGGCTGAAGTATGAACTTGATCCAGCAGGTAATTTAGAGTCCTTATTGGTTCTTTAGTGTGGGAATTTTAAGATTAAGGAATGTAAGCACTATGGTGTTCCCTAGAGTTATTTTAGGAAAGCTAAGTTGCTGCGTGCCATAGAAAAATCATAATGAAGGGAAGAACTTAATATGGTCTTATTTAAAATCTGCCGATAGGAATTTCCTTTTCATCCTCATAGCTGAGCTGGGGGTTTTGTCCCTTGCTGTTCTTTTTGCCCCATTTCTTTTCTTGTGGTTTTGCTTTTTTCTCTACCTTTCTTGCCAATCTGGGCTGCCAAACTCATTCTGGAGGTGACCCCAGACAGGGAAGAGGGAGTGTGACTCCTGAGGTCCTTCATCCCCTTCCATCTGCCATGGAGATGTGCTTTTCATGATTCTCCCCAAAGCTGGTCTTGCTTACAAGTTTCTGTTTTATTTTCTGTCCTTTCAGAGCTCTTATTTATTTATTTTTTTTTGAGGTGGAATCTTGCTTTGTCACCCAGGCTGGAGTGCAGTGGCGTGATCTCAGCTCACTGCAAGCTCTGCCTCCCAGGTTCATGCTGCCTCAGCTTCTCCAGCAGCTGGGACTACAGGCACCCGCCGCCACGCCTGGCTAATTTTTTTTGTATTTTTATTTTATTTATTTATTTATTTTTATTATACTTTAAGTTCTAGGGTACATGTGGATAACGTGCAGGTTTGTTACATATGTATACTTGTGCCATGTTGGCGTGCTGCACCCATCAACTCGTCAGCACCCATCAACTCGTCATTTACATCAGGTATAACTCCCAGTGCAATCCCTCCCCCCTTCCCCCTCCCCATGATAGGCCCCGGTGTGTGATGTTCCCCTTCCCGAGTCCAAGTGATCTCATCGTTCAGTTCCCACCTATGAGTGAGAACATGCGGTGTTTGGTTTTCTGTTCTTGCGATAGTTTGCTGAGAATGATGGTTTCCAGCTGCATCCATGTCCCTACAAAGGACACAAACTCATCCTTTTTTATGGCTGCATAGTATTCCATGGTGTATATGTGCCACATTTTCTTAATCCAGTCTGTCACTGATGGCCATTTGGATTATAAATCATGCTGCTATAAAGACACATGCACATGTATGTTTATTGCAGCACTATTCACAATAGCAAAGACTTGGAATTTTTTTGTATTTTTAGTAGAGATGGGGTTTCACCGTGTTAGCCAGGATGGTCTCGACTTCCTGACCTTGTGATCTGTCCACCTCGGCCTCCCAAAGTGCTGGGATTACAGGCATGAGCCACCGTGCCCAGCCTCAGAGCTCTATATTTTTAAACCCTCTACAAATCTTCTTTCTAGAACCTCTGCTCCAGACTTTTTAAGGCAGTAACCCCCAAACGGGATGACACGTATGGAAGAAAGGAAGCTTTCTGCATGTCCATTTCCTGATCTCAACCCTATGATTACTGCCCCTTTGGATATAGTAGCCAGAACTTCCCTTATCATAGCTTCATACTGTGCATTTTGCTTGCTTCTCACCTTCACTAGGACCTGCTCTCCATGAGGGTAGAATACAACCCTACCTTTCTTACTGTCAGTGCAGTGCCTGCATCTGTACATGTTTGCTGAATGCTGACTGAATTTTCTTGGCTTTAGAGCTAAATATGTGAGAATTAAATGGGATTTTCTTTAATTGATCCAAAAACTGCTTAGCCAGCATGTGTATTATGTTTAACATTTGCTTCCATTGGAAAAAGAAAAAGAAGGCCATTACTGGGCATCAGTCATGTGTGCCTTGACACCTTTTAAATGTTTCATTTAATCATCTCAATAACCCTGCAAAGCAGGTGTATTATCCCATTTTTACCAGTGAAGTACATGAGATTTGAAAGTTATGTAACCTGCCCCAGGCTGGTGAAATGCCTACACCACAACTGCAATTTATCTGATGTTAAAGTTTTTTGAAATACGACAGGGGTGCGTTTGAGGACTGCCTTGTGTATAGGTAAGAGACCACATTTTGACTTATTTGGACTTTGCTGTGTCTTTAGAATTTTAGAGCCACTGGGAACCGAAATGTCTTTTGGTCCATAAAGATAAAATCATCCTTGAAACCATTTTGAGGAAAGGTGGTATTACATGTTTATTGAAACTTACCAGAACTGAAATGTAGAGTTTGAAATCTTCCAAGTAGGGCAGTAAGGAGCTACCAGCAGTTTAAAAATGGAGTGTGATATAATAGCGTGTTCTATAACTAAAGTTCTGGCAGCTGTGTGGACAATGAACAAAATAAGGGCTGGAGGCAAGAGAGCCACTTAGGAGGGGTAACCACAGGAGTTTAGGGGAGATCATGGCCTGAACCAAGATGATAACACAAGGGAGGGTGGCAAAGATGGGATGATTCAAGATGGATTGTGGACTTGACAGAACCTTGTAAAATGCAAATGTGTATGGTGGAGAGTAGGGATACAGGGATTGTTGTGTGGCATTCGACTGGGGAACAGTTAGGGGAAAGAAGGAGAAAGAGGCCCCAAAAGAATCCAATGTTTCTAACTTAGGCACCTGATGAGCTATTGATGCAATTAACCAAAATATGAGAAACAAGAGGCGCAAGAACAGGTTTGGGAGGAAGATAATGAGTTCAATTTTTGAATTGTTGGACTTAGACATCGGAGGCATGGCAGTGAATGAGGTTGCTCACAAAAGCATGTAGTCAGAGAGGTTGGAGACTAAGGAACAAATAACACAATGAAAAGAAGAGAAAAAAGAGGAACATGCTAATGAAACTGAGAAGTGGCAAGAGATATGGGAAAAAAGGCTGCAGAAAGCAAGATAATAGGTGACTTTCGAAGACTGTTTCCTAGAAAGCAAGAATAGTGGGCAGTGCCTGGAGGGTTGAAGATGCAAGATGTTATTTGGTAGGTAGAAAATAATCTTGGAATGGGATGAGGACAGTGGTGGGTGTATTATAGAAACACTACCTGCCACAGTGGGATGAAGGAAGGAGAGATGGAGAAGGATTTAGAGAGGAAGACCAAGATTTGAGGGCTACTCACTTCATTTTCTCATTCCAGTAAGACTCAGAAAGAAAGACACTAAAGAACTATATGTACACAAATTCAAAGATTATAGATTTCCTCTGATATTCCTGATTTTACAGTCCAGATTTACTTTAAGGTTAACTTTATCAACTAAGTAGGCTTTCCTTAACACATTTGTCTAATAGGAAAAATTCGAGAAGTGTAGTTTTTCGATTTGTTGTTAAGATTGGCCCTGTTTTTTTTTTTTTTAAATTTAAATTCTATCTATGTTGACATGAAAATCTTAATTCAACAGATTTAGCAGAAATAAGAGTTACCATTGGGACTCCAGAACCTCCTCATGTTTTTGTTTAAAAATGTAGAGTCTTGTACTTCTGTTTCATCAGTCTGACAGTTGTTGGGGCAATCTGAACTTTCAGTGGATACGTCTGCTCAAGTTATACCTAATTTGAGGGAAATTTTTTATATGCTGAGATGATAGTAGACAACTGCCTTATCTTTTCTGGCATGAACAACTGAAACCACTTGGATAGTTCATTATCAGTCTTCAGGAATCTAGGTTTCCCCCAATAATTTATGTTCCTGTTCCATCCAGTTCAAAGATGATTCTGTCATCATTATCTTCTGAAACTTGGATTCTTTGTAGGATACTCACTTGGCATATACCTTGCAAGGAAAAATAAGGAAGTTGAAATCCTTCCTGAAATCACTGTTGAACAATTTATGCTTGAATGTAATTATAGATATGTTCACTTGGAAGAAGTTTCAGGAATAATTTGCTATAAGAACTTGGGATTAGACATAGATGCCTCAAGACTGCCGTGAGGGGAAGGCTACACAAGTGGGGCTCTGGAACTCTTACTTTGAAACCACAGCCACCCACTTTAATCCTTTCTGTATAGTGGTTTGGAAAGAGGTGGTCTGCGTAAGACTTTGATTTGAAAGTAGGCTACTTAAAACCAAAATTAAAAAGCAGTATTTTTATGAAAGAGAAGGCTTTACCAGGCCCAGTGACATGCCTGTGGTCACCTGGTTAATGACAGATATGCACCTGTAATTGCCCATGCGGTCCTCTTCTCTTTGCCTGCATTGTGTCTCAAGGACTGACAAAACACTTTGCCTGGCTGTAGCCACAGGGACGCTGTCCTTCCTATTAACTCTTTCAAAGAGGAGGAGGTTATCTGCCCTTTTATTAATATTTAAGATGTTTAAATAGTGATTTCTTTATTTCTGAGGTAAGTACAATCCTTCATGAGATAGTATTTCAAATCTAATATAACAGTGAGACATTTTCCTCTAGGGCTTAAGCTCATTCTCTGTGATCCTATATTTGGTAGAAAAGGATAATGTTCACTTGCCATCTCCCACAAAATATTCTTTATGTAGTTTGAGAGTGTTTATTAAGACTCCATCCTGTATTTTATTCTTCAAGCTATAAAACATCAGTGTTTTGAATGTGTAACCCATGATTTGTCTCTTTGTCTGTCTTCCTTATATAGCAAATAGATTCTGCACTTTAATTGGCTCTAAGTCAGATTTTTTTTTGTAAGTGTGGTGAAGATGACCACTCATTTTCACCGAGTCATCTCTAACTTAAGTGTATGGTGGTTTTGGCTGAGGAGTAGCACCAACCAGTAGTTTTTGCTATTCTTAGCAGAATTTTATTACATTCTTCAGATTGGCATTCATCAGGTGGTTATTAATGAGTGTTGACTACATCTGCATTTCCATGTTTAAACTGCTTTACAAAGAGCTTTCTGCTGAAAGCTAAAAATCCCATACCCATTGAAAAATCAACAATTAGTTTTTGAGAGCAAGAATCATCCCTAATTTATCTTTATTTCCCAAAGTGCTAAGTATTGTGTTTTTTTTTTATACAGAGTAAACAATAAATGTATGTCCAATGGTTGAACGAGTGAAATGTCATAATACTTCTGTGTGTCCATATAGAGTAGTGAATTCTTGATCCTTTGTTTATTCAGTGCCTTCCTTCAAATTCTTGTGTACTTAGTCCATCTAATGGTGCTATAACAATACCTGAGACTGAGTAATTTATAAAGAAAAGAGGAGGTTTAGTTGGCTCATGGTTCTGGTGGCTGGAAAGTCCAAGAGTATGGCACCAACATCTGCTTGGCCTCAGGTGAGCACCATGTGCTGTGTCACAACATGGTGGAAAAGCAGATGGGCAAATGGTGTGTGCAGAGACCCAACACAAGGCAACCTCACTTTATAACAACCTGCTCTTGTGGTAACTAATTCAGTCCTGCTAGAGTGAGAACTTACTCCCATGAGACTACATTCATTCCTTTATGAGGGCAGATCCTTCATGACCCAAACACCTGTTAAAGGTAACACTTTCCAGCACTACCACATTGGCAATTAAATTTTAACATGAGTTTTGGTGGTGACAAATCACATCCACACCATAGTATGTACTATCCTAATATTTCTCAGAATATTGCTACTTGTTTTAAACTTGTTTTATGGGTAAAAAAAACCTTAGGCAGAAAGCTTTATGAATTGCCCAGTTGGTTCCTGGGTTAGGTTTAACTGCCAAGTTAAAATGGAGAATTGGTAGGTCTTTTCCTGGAAAGTAAAACAGGTTTAGGAAGAATTGTAACAGGTAAGTCTAAGTTTTTTTGAGGTTAGGAAACAAAGCTGAAACACTGGTCTCATAAATTCATATTAAAATCTATTTGTTGCTTCCTCAAAACAAAATATGTAAATTACAAGAGAAATTAATGTTTGCACAGACATAGTATACTGTAAAACTTGAAACATTTGGTTTAGAAAATAATTTAAGTTCCCTGGAATTTAGGATTTGTAGTGTAGTATAGGGATAGCAATGGGAATAATTATACCTTTTGTCCAAGAGGTTATTTGGGGGCTTATGAGCTGATGTTATTTTGAAGAAGTCATGGACTGTAGCTCAGAATGTGTCAGTAGGGACACTCTTGGTATATTAGGGAGTAATTCCTTAAGGGTGACATAGTTCTACATTTTGCAGCATGTATAGCAGCTATGCCTTTAACACTACATCTTCATGTGGCATTTGGGCAAGTAAAATACCTTGCCAAACTTCACATGCCCACTAGGGAGTGGTACCAGTCCTAGATGGATGCCACTAGAGGCTAAATTATGTGTCTGTGAACCACTTGAAGTTATTCAGAAAATATGCCAAGTATTGGGAGTAGGTTTTTAAAAGTATGGTGGTCCTTTTCAAATAAATGATTTAAATCACTGTACTTTATTCCTGGGCAGTGAATAAATGGTGTGGCCTATAAGTTAGACTCAATTGTACAGTGGGCAGAAACCTAAGCTTATCCATGGCCAACCAATTTAAAGTATTAATATGAAGAAAAACATGTAATGACAATAAGATTTTCCTTATTTTAGCAGAAAAATAATAAACTCAGTGCTATTTATATAAATGAAAGTTTTACCAACCCAAGGAAGAAAGAATGAAGCTTCTAGTTTATCATGAAATGATTCAAGTATACCTAGCGTGCAGCCTCCCTCCTTTCATGGATAGACTTTCCTCCATGTGGGTGCCAGAGACACTGGATACCAGGTTTCATGTTTTGTTTTCAGGATCAGTTCAGTGATATGAGAATCAGCATAAACCAGACGCCTGGGAAGAGTCTTGACTTTGGGTTTACAATAAAATGGGATATTCCTGGGATCTTCGTAGCATCAGTTGAAGCAGGTAAATGATATATTTAGCTCTACTGAATTTTCTCCTTTTTCATCTTTCATTGTGGGGTTGGGGACCACAGAAATTAGCGTATTTGATATAGGAGGAGAAAACCTGTGAAAAATGCAACCATAAGGCCAGAAAATACATCCTCTTTCCTGAGATTATTGGGGTTCCAAATTCCATATTGTTTATTCTCCTTGAGTAATTAATTTTAGTTTTGAAAGTCTTAACTTTGTGATTTTACAGATTTTGTCCATTTTGGACTTTATATTTGGAAATGCTAACAAACAGCACTTAAGTAAAGATTCAGAAAGAACTTTCCACGATCAGCCATGCTTTGTAGTAAATGTATATGTGCCATTTAATAAGTTGATTTTTTTTGAGTGTTCTAATATACTTATTGCCCATGAAGTCTTCAGGATGCTTCAGGACTTCTGTAAAAGGATTACCCCTCCCCGGTCCAGGTCTATACCATGTCAAGCCCGGGAACTTTTTTCAAAACATTACAAAGCCTAAAATTAAAAAGAGGAGTTCCTTTATTTTTACTTTTATTTTTTAATTTTTTACATATTTTAGCTATATAAAATTGCATGTTAACACCAGTTAGTTCTTTTACATCTTAAGATTGCCTTAATTAGATAATGGTATTTTAGTTATGGAGTAATTTTAAGCAGTTTTAAATAGCTGTGTTTTCTTCTGCTCCATTCCAGAATGTATCTGATTTGGAAGCTCAATTAAAATGCAGTATATTTCATATTTCAAATTTAAGAGTAACTTAAATTTTTTGTCCTTGGGAGGTTAATAAAGAAGTCTTATTGAATACATTAGTTTATCATTTTTCCTTTAATGAAGATGCATTCTATAGAACTTCAAAAAACACCTCTAATGCTTTGTATGTTGTACTCATATATTTGATATTAAAAAAATAGTGACCCTTATCCACCTGAAAAAGAGAGAAATGGTTAATTAAAATTCAGAGTCACTTTTCTTAAGCTCAAAGCAGCAACTAGTAGAACATGTGGGATTTTTTCCCCGATTGATTAATTTATTTTGTATTTTTAGGTAGCCCAGCAGAATTTTCTCAGCTACAAGTAGATGATGAAATTATTGCTATTAACAACACCAAGTTTTCATATAAGGATTCAAAAGAGTGGGAGGAAGCCATGGCTAAGGCTCAAGAAACTGGACATCTAGTGATGGATGTGAGGCGCTATGGAAAGGCTGGTGAGTTTGTGTTACCACCATGTCTGGCGTTTGGAATTGGGACCTGGCCCTTGGCAAGTGGTTCTAACAGTTTGCTTCAATAACTTTTTATTTTTTCACTTTACTTATGTTTTGGCATTAAAGGTATTTTGTAGTTACATCGTGACAAATCTTGAACCCTACTCCTTTGAATATTCTGTCTGGACTTTTCACTAGCAAATTTACTGAATTCTACAGTATTGATTGACTGATTCATGTACTGGTTTGATTGAATGCAAATATCAATTGAAGACAAATGTATCTGCATCCAGGAGTTATTTATAATAATACTGAGTAGTAAGAACTATGCTATGATTTAACTTTATCTGCAGCATCATAACCATATTGGTATAAGAGAGAGAGCTTGGTAGGTCATATTCCTGTTTATTCTCAAAGAACTTTCGATGTGTATTCCATTAATGTGTTTCTTAATTATAGAGGCTAGATGGGAAAGGGCATTAAGCCTCCGCAGATCTACCAACTTATGATATCACAATAAAATATCTATCCTGGTTTATGGGAAAGATTCAGCAAATTTGCTAGTTTTTTCATTACTAACGTGATTTAACCCTTGTGTTTTGGGAAGGTGGTCTGTTGGCAAAAAGCCCTAAACTCTTGATTTATTTCACATACTGCCTGATTTGTTTGTCTTGTATATGTAGATTTTTTTATATATGTGCATTCAATGACTTTATTCTTTCCACTTCAACATCTATGTGTACTCATTTGATCTTCATGTGCCAATCAGACTGGGGCAAAGACCAACCTTCCCTGCCATTTATACGGCATAAAACCCTCAATCTCACCAGTATGGCTACCAAAATTATAGGTTCACCTGAGACAAAGTGGATTGATGCAACTTCTGGAATTTACAACTCAGAAAAATCTTCAAATCTATCTATAACAACCGATTTCTCCGAAAGCCTTCAGAGTTCTGTGAGTATTTGGAGAAGTGGGAAGTACTGGTGTGGAGCAAAGCAGTTGTTAGAATTGTGTATGGAAGAAAATAATTTCTCTTGTTTGTACAATTTTGATACTACCTGTAAAATGTAAATGATTGAACAACGTAAATTATAGTAAGGAGATACAGTAAAATAGATTTTTGAAAACCATAGGCATTCCTCATAGAGTAGTTGTGAGTTATATAATGGTAAAATCAAAAGATCCCAGAATGTTGTTTTGCAGGTGTTTTCCACCAGTCTTTCATTATTAGACCCACCTCTCAGATCTTTGTGAGCGTGAAGTAGCAATTACATAAAATTATAAACTATGACTTCTTTATGTGTTCCCTAGTCTTTACTGACAAATAAATGTAATAGTTGGGTGTAATGGAAAACTTCATGAAGCGTTTTTAGTTTTTGTGTAGGTGAATTTGGTGGGTAGACTTACATATGTGGTTAAGAGATAATCAGTTTCATTAATTTGATCAAAAATATAATGTAGAAAATTTTTTAAGTGTCAAAGCAATACTTTTTCCTATAGACTTTGAAGTAATGTGGTTTCTATTTATGATACAAGTTGTTCATTTAAATTAATAATTAAATTTAAATTTCAACTAAATATTATGCACTTATACTCCTTAGATTGTGCTATTATCATCTCAAGGTAACTCCTTTTATTTAATAAGGAGATCTTACTATATTGTGTAAGAAATGTTTGAGAATCCTATATGACAGTTTTGTGTACTCATAAATATAAGCCAAATGGACTAATGATTATCTGGCTGATTTTATTTCTTGGAAAGTTAACGATTGATTAAACTTAAAATCATCCATGCCTGCAGCTAGTCATTAATTCTGCCACAAATATTGAAATATAATGAAAAAACTTAAGTTTCTACTACATGTAAAAGGCTGTAAGGAATGCATCAATATCCCGAGAAACTCATCTTGTTAAAATATATATTTCAGTAATGTGAAATGCATTATTTAAGTCCAAAGTCCAACTGGAGAGAATATTAACTAGCATTTTTACCCTTTCCAGAATATTGAATCCAAAGAAATCAATGGAATTCATGATGAAAGCAATGCTTTTGAATCAAAAGGTAAATATCACCATTATATCTTATATTATACAGGAAAAGACACAGCACTCAAGTTCTGCTGTTATAAAAATTAATATCTGTGAGTGAAAGAAAAACTGCAAGTTGAAACTAAAAGGTTAGCACGCAGATCCAATTGCAGCCAGGTGGAAGGGCATTCAGTTCCCGTGCTGAATTGTTCAGGCACTGCAAACAAAACTTTGGCAGCATGTTCCGGAACTCTGAGTGCCTTCATGCCTAAGTCAAATAAGAAAGACTGGTTCTTCCCAAGTCAGCTTTCTTGCTATGGTATGCTGGCAAAGGGAATCTTAGTTAAGCTTGGAACTATGAACGAAGTTTCCTTTCTTTCTTGTTGTGAAAGGGACAACCTTGGAGGCAGTTAGCTATAAGAGGGAAATGCCAGTGGCAATGAAGTCATTAGCAGATGTACCCATTTGTAATGAAAAAAAAGGCAAAATATCTAGAGAAATTTTGGAGTTATCTCCGTGTTTCTTCTTCTGTCCATCCAGAAATAATTTAGCTACCATACATCGTGTGCTATTCCTTGGGCACAGAAAAATAAGAATAGATCTGGTCATATAGGCAGGGGAAGAAACCCAAAGAAGATGAGACTTCTACTGTGAACCTAGACTGCCAAGAATGGGATTGAGTTTTCACAGTGCTTTAGTGGCTTTAACTCTACATTTGACAGTTTATAATACATTATCTTAAAGCCAACCTAAATATATAAATTTCCCTTTCCTTATCAATTATTTAACTTTGTATTTCATTTCTGATAGATAAAAGTGACTATATTTTGTTTTCAGTTGCATTCTTTATCAAAAGAGTATTTAAAGCAAACTCTGCTTATTTTTCTCCGTGATGTTACATGTAAAGCACCAGGTCCTATTCTGCAGTGAGTCAGGTGAGATAGCTGATCAGATATCTAGCTCTTCTATGACTAGGGAACTATACATGGGCCCTGTCATTGGAAGGTTTTGTTTAGATAAGTGAGCACTAACTAGTATCAAGTAATAATCATATGTAGATTTTATGCCATAGTCTTGTGACAGATCTGTGGGAGAAGTCAGAATGTTTTCCTTTTGTTTTCTTGGTAGAACTCTATTTGCTTTACTTAATATTAGTAGCTACCAGATCTTGAAAACTAGGTCAAAAAATTCTAGTTAGAAGATGGTTGTAATTTTAGTGTTTGATTTTCTTTGGGTATCATTTTTTTGTTGTTGTTTTCTTCCCCATTACTTTTAACTTCTTATTCATAAGTGTTGTGAAGACTGTTTGTTATAGACAGTTCTCCATGTAGTAGACAAGATTATGGATTGTTTAACCTAAGCAAAAAATATTAATTTCCTTTTCCCTAAAATGGCATGATGTAGCATGGAAGATGATACTTTGGCTTTTCATAGCTGTGAAACTCTGATGCTATATGCTAAAGTTTATTAATAAAGATATTCGTTCTTTCTACTAATTTGAGTATAGTGTAGGCTACTAAAATTGTGTGTTCCTGTGCCTTGAGATAATCTATATTTTCTACGGCTATCAGTTTTGTGATCTTTCAAAATAATATTGCACAGATTGGAAAGCTATATCAAGTATCGTTTGATTTACCAGTGGTGAGAAATAAAAATGAATGACATAGTGTTTATTTTTTTTTCAACTAGCATCTGAATCCATTTCTTTGAAAAACTTAAAAAGGCGATCACAATTTTTTGAACAAGGTAAACCACAAAGCTAACAATTCATGCACTTTCATGGAATTGTTCTCCCTCTCCACTCTTCCTCACGGTCTGTGGTGCTGGGCACTGAGCCTCTTCAATTTGTCTGTCATTATGACCAAGCGACATAACCCATTTCCATTCTTTCCCTAGGGTCATCAGGCTTTTCTTACAGTTCATGGGTCTACCTCTGTGGTAATGGGTCTCTGTGTGTCCTTTGTATACCTGTATAAAGGTTTTACTTTTTTTTTTTTTAACTTTGTAAAAAAAAAAAAAAAAAAAGGGGGTGGGTAGATGCTCTTAAACACACACTTGTTTCCACTGGGTAACAGTAAGAAATGAGGAATTTCATTTAAGCCTTACTGCTTCCTACAAATTGCATATTAGATTACACCAACATGCAATTGGCCAAGTTTTTAAAAACTCTGATTTGTTTTTGGTTGTGGAAAACACTCTTAATAAAGAAGAGTTATTTTTGCCATGGTATGGTGGCTTTGGAGTGTTGATTTGACTGCTCTGTTGACTTTGAAGTACATTCAAAGTAAATACATTTTGGTTGCATCTGAAAACGTGCATTTTGAGATTCTCCGTGTTGGTGTACTTGGGCAGGGCCTCACAATGTGCTGTGCATGTGACATTTGCTCCTGTGCCACGTTTGCCTAATGCTCTGTCACATGAATGCTGTTCAAGCTCTGTTTTGCTACTAAGAACTTAAAAGTAATAGTCAACATTTGAGATGCGGTGGTCAAAGGATATTGTGCTGTTGCCATCTAAAATGTTACTGTTTCTTACTTTTAAGATTATTAACATGTTTGCAAATGTGCCTTGTAACACAGTGCTTACCGGGTTTGTGTATTTTGTGTTAATCACCTAATGTCCTTCCTTTGGATGAAGGTCTGTTTTTGACCATAAACAGAAATACCTTACCAACTATGCAAGTCTATTTGTGTCAGTATCCTTAGTGTTTTTTATTTATATTTTAAAATAAAATTCCTATTTTTTCTATGGCTATTTAATTGAAACAGTATGATACTCCTTCCTAAAACTGGCTAAAATAAAGCAATTCCTTTTCCTTCTCTGTTCTAATTTTCTCCCATTTTTCTTCAACAGGCTATTATAGGGAAGAATATTTTTCTAGGTTTCAAAGCAATTTTCTGTAAAAAATTGTATGTGAATAATTTGACAGCTGAGGTTTTAAGAACATTTAAAAGTACTGCATGAGAGTGTATTTTCTGAAGTTTTACTTTTTAAATAATCATTGTTCTATGTAAAGGTATACTTATGTAGGTCCCCTAAGAATAAAAAGAATAAGACTGTACCCATAAGTTTACATATGAAGTTTGAATACGTGTGTTTCAAATAATAGGAGTAGAAAAAGGAAATGTTTCTTGAACATGTTTGTTGCGGTGACTTGCTTATGAAAGTGGCTCATTAGTAAGAAGACTTGAAAAATGTGACTTGTAGCTGTCAAGTTGTAATTGAGTAGTGGCAAGTAAAAAATTGGGATTTGGTAGATGTAACATTTGAAATTCCTTTTTTTTTTTTTTGGGCCTGTTAGGTAAAACTATGAGATGCTGTCCAATTTATTAGTAAAAGAACTCTGAGGTTTCTTCAGAACTATCCATTGATCCTACTCTAATACCTACAGCTAGGGTTTATTTTGGCATCTATATCTTCCTTTTACTAACTTTGAATTTGAAACATGAGTAACAGATGGAACTGTTACACCTGGAGAAAAAAGGATTTATGACTATTGTTTTAAAAAATTGTCACTTAGTATACTGGCATAGGGACAGCTAATAATAGAAGTTTCTGAAATGAATTATTTCATAGAAATGAAGACTTATATTGTATATTTTTCTTCCTTGCCCATGTGCTGCAACACAGGAAGCTCTGATTCGGTGGTTCCTGATGTAAGTAGCATTCATTTGTCATTTTGAATAAGGCGAACTTGGTGGGACTGAATTAGTACACAGTAGCGTGCTTACCATGATTTTAGATTGCATAAGAATTTATCAGAGAGTTATCCTTCCAAGTTGAAAAACTTATTTTAAAATTCAGAGCCAAGCCAGCTCTCCCTTGGTACAGTTTAAGCAAACTGTGATATGAATAATTTATGTGTGCAAAAGTGGTTCAGTAGATGACTTAATGAAGTTATGTTCTCTATTTGCATCTCTTCTCTGATAACTGGTTAGCTTCCAGTTCCAACCATCAGTGCCCCGAGTCGCTGGGTGTGGGATCAAGAGGAGGAGCGGAAGCGGCAGGAGAGGTGGCAGAAGGAGCAGGACCGCCTACTGCAGGTAGCTCTGGCTCACGTGGATGGGTAGGAACTAGGTTGGATTTCACGGCTTTTCTCCAGTCTGTGTCAACCAGTATTGAGAAACTAATTTTAAACTCAACAGTTTCACAACAACAAATATTTTTGTCCATAGTATATTTTCCATAAAACAATTACTTTTCCATTTTGAAGATTTCCAGAGTCATCATTTAAAAATCATTATTTATTAACCCCCATGTGTGTTTTTGTAGAGTATGAAGGGCACTCACTTAGCAGGTGTGAAGTACATGGACTTTGTGATGACTTGATTCCCATAAACTGTTGCTAGGTCCATTGCAGAGTAATTCAGCACCCCCTTACAGTTTGCTAGAGTCTTTAATGAATTACAGCCATGGTAAAAGGTGGATGGGGGTTTAATTCTCAGTGTCTACCTTTTTACCCCAGCATCCACATTTTTAATTCAATATATGCTGTTTTCTACTATAGGGACTAAAATCTGATTGGCTTGTGAAAATAAAATCATGGTCTTTAAAGGTTTGAGGTTGAAGGTTTAGAGATCATAGAAGTGTTAATAAAGAAGATTCCTAATGTGAAGAGTTAATCTATTGGATTAATGTGTGTCATATTTTCTTATAGGAAAAATATCAACGTGAGCAGGAGAAACTGAGGGAAGAGTGGCAAAGGGCCAAACAGGAGGCAGAGAGAGAGAATTCCAAGTACTTGGATGAGGTAGTGTTAGAACATGCCTGTATAGTTTTTCTTCTCTTTACCTTGTTGGTGAGATTAGCTGAGAAGCAGGAGACACTTCATTTTTCTCCACCTTTGACCATATGTTCACCTATGTAGCTCTTTGAAAAATACAATGAGCTCTGATTTGTTAGAATTTTGCTTGGATGTTTCAGCCTTTCTCCTAGTTTTTGTAGTACATCATTAACAAATTATGTTAATAGAACTTCAGTGCATCTTCCTCTTCTAAGTTACATCTCAGTCACTCGTGTGTAGCTTTTTTAGTGGTAGAACTCTTAACATGTTTTTTTTGAGTGGAGTCCTGGGCCAACTATAGTTAGTAGCATCTAAAACTGAATATATATATGTCTATATGAAATTACAGAAATAAACAGATTTAGATGGATTTCTTTTTTCACTGGTCACCTAGGAACTGATGGTCCTAAGCTCAAACAACATGTCTGTGACCACACGGGAGCCCTCTCTTGCCACCTGGGAAGCTACCTGGAGTGAAGGGTCCAAGTCTTCAGACAGGGAAGGAACCCGAGCAGGAGAAGAGGACAGGAGACAGCCACAAGAGGAAGTTGTTCATGAGGACCAAGGAAAGAAGCCGCAGGATCAGCTTGTTATTGAGAGAGAGAGGAAACGGGAGCAAGAGCTTCAGGAAGAGCAAGAGCAGAAGCGGCTTCAGGCTGAGGCTGAGGAGCAGAAGCGCCCTGCGGAGGAGCAGAAGCACCAGGCAGAGATAGAGCGGGAAACGTCAGTCAGAATATACCAGTACAGGAGGTTTGTCCCCACAGCCAGAGGGCACAGAGGCTGTTAGAGTAGCTTGGCTCAGCTGTATCCATTCCCCACTTCAAAGGCACCCCCTTGCTCTTCCGGTTTCCTACCACCCATTCTCCACACAAGTGAATACAAGCCACCAAAGAGAACTTTTAAATCATAAACCCTGCCATGTCATCTTGCTTCCCCACCCAGAACCCTCCAAGTCAATTCGTGTCACATCAGAACCCCATCCAGCATCCTTGCCAAGGCCTAGAAGGCTGCCATGAGCTACATTACCTTGTAGTACCTCCACTCTTCCCCTTACCCACTCTGTTCCAGCCACACTCGCCTCCTGTTTCTTCCTTGAAAATACCCAAGGACTTGTGTATTTTCTAGTCCGTCTGCTGGGAGAAGTCATTGAATGTTTGTGTGTCTTGTGTTCTCATTTTCTTCTAGGCTCTGCTCACACATCACCTCCTTGGACTTTCTAGAATACCCGATTTAAAATACAGGCCCCTTCTCCATCCTTCTCTCTGTGTACTCTTAACTTATTTTATATTATGCATTTATTTGTTTATCTGTTGGCCTGCCTGCTGCAGTAAGATGTAAGTGCTATAAAGTCAGTAAGTTTGTTGTGTGTACTTCTGTAGCCCATTCTTGGAGTGGTACTGGAATATGGTGGGCACTTAATATGTATTTGTAGAATGAATGAGTGAATGAATGGCTTGCAAATGTCTGTTGGCAATAGGGGATCTATTTTCTGTGGTTATTCATTGAAATACCTTTGTATGTTTAGTTTTTAACCCAAAGACCATTTGCATAAAGAGGCTAGAATGACATTATTTTGATACCCTTTTCTTAAACTCAGGGAAGGGCTTAAAGTCTAATATTTGGACTACAAAATCGTTTTCTGTCTTTTAGGCCTGTTGATTCCTATGATACACCAAGGAGAGAAGAAGCATCTTCAGGTTTTCTTCCTAATGACAGGTATGTAGAGCATGTTATTGTAATTTAATTGATGATCATTGGCTTCATATAATATTCCAGGGCTTGCATCGATGATTGGTAGAACTACTTTAGCCCTTTGTCATTTGTGGGATATAAAGAGGAATTGCTGGTTGATCTTTGTATCAGTTAGCTTTTGCTGTGTAACAACTACTTGTGAACTTAATGAATTAGCTTATGATTTTATGGGTCAGCATTTTAGGCTGATCTCAATTGGGCAGCCTTTTAGTTGACTGGGCTCGCTCATATATCTGCTACCTATTAACTGGGCAGCTCTGCTTTTGGGGGTGGGCTGGGGTCAGCTGGGGCAGTGAGAACAACTGGGTCATATATCTTTCAACGTCCACCCAGCCAGGGAGGTCTTATGTGTACGTGGTGGTGAGGCGGGGAAAGGGAATTAAAAAGAGGAAATCTGCAAGGCATCTTGAGGTTTAAGTTGTCTAAAGTCACAGTCACAGGTCATGGAGAAGAGAAGAACACTGCCTCTTTTTGGCAGGAATCACATTGCAAGGGGAATGGACACGGCTGGGAAAGAACTATGTCAATTTTCTGTAATCCAGCGTAATCTTCATTTTACAAAGGTTGTGAATAATGGCTTAACATTACTCCATACAGTCACAGATCATGGAGAAGAGAAGAACACTGCTTCTTTATGGCAGGAATCACATTGCAAGGGGAATGGGCGTGGCTGGGAAAGAACTGTGTCCATTTTCTGTAATCCAACGTAATCTTCATTTTAAAAAGGTTATGAATAATGACTTAACATTACTCCCAAAAGGGACATCTGAAATGGGAATAGTGACCTTTCTCTTAGGCAGTTTGGTTAGAACTACTGGTCAGTTTTGGGGAATGAAGATAAAATTCAAGATATCTGGAAAGTTATATGTATCTTAAAATTTCCTAAAATATTGTTTTAATGTTTTAAAGTAATTTTTAAAATGTTTTGCAGTTTTGAAATCACTGAGGACTTCTAAACAGTCTGTCAAACCAATATCGAGGGGAGGGCCATTACCTTGTGTTTTCAGAGCTGAAATGTCTCCTTTTGTCTTATTTATTAGATATAAGGAAAGACTTATATCTACAAACAGCCAGGATAACTGAACAGGGCTCAGAATAGAAGGGGAAAAGGAAAGGGACAAGCAGCTAGTAATGGGCTGACAATAAGCTAAAGGAAAATCTGGTGATAGATGACCTTATTTATAATCTCTCTGGGTAACTGTAAATCATTAAAATGTTTATCTCCTTTTAAAAGTTATGGATTTACTTACATATTTACAAAAGCTTTATTTATGTAGCTCATGACCTTGGGGAAAATAACTAAAATGCAGAGAAAGGAAACTTAAGGAAGCTGGGAAAATATGAATACCTGCAGGCAGTCCAGATAAAGCATGCCCTAGAGGCATCGAGGAGTGTGGCTAGATATCCGGTAATAAATGTTTTCTTCTATGTAGATACAAGTGAAATTATTCACAAGTGCAGCTGTCTACCACTTATGATACATTATGTATTATAGATTATTGGATTTATACATATGTAATATGTACATATACGTACATAAGTGTAATATTACATCTTATTTTATAATGTATATTATACATTGTTATTACTACTATTCTCTTTTTCGTTTCTTTTTTTTTTTTGAGACTGAGTCTTACGCGGTCACACAGGCTGGAGTGCAGTGACGCGATCTCAGCTCAATGCAACCTCTGTCTCCTGGGTTCAAGTGATTCTCCCACTTCTGCCTCCCAAGTAACTGAGACTACAGGCGCACGCCACCACGTCCAGCTAGTTTTTGTATTTTTGTAGAGATGAGGTGTCACCATGTTGGCCAGGCTGGCTTCAAACTCCTAACCTCAAGTGATTCACCTGTCTCGGCCTCCCAAAGTGCTGGGATTACAGGAGCGAGCCACCATGCCCAGCTACTACTATTATTTTCAAAGTTCAGTGTGTCTAGCAGAATGGGAATGAGATTAGCATGTGTTGATTTATACACCTAAGTTTTATTGGTACAAAGTTAAGGCATTTCCAGAAGTTGACTGTGCTGTATGCTTTAGTACCTCTTTGGAACACTAAGATGACATTTGGTAAATTAATGTTCCACAGTAGTCAGTGGCACCCTAATGCCCAAGAAGTTGACATTATAACCCTGGGCAGTGTGGAGGAGGTGGGACGGACTGACTGTAGGTGATCTGATGGCAGATGCTTTGTAAGCCTGGTAAGATTGAGATCTGGACCAGGGCGAACATTAACAACAATTGATCAATAAATTATAGTCTTCATCATCATACAAACTGGAGAAGTACTGTCACGTGTTGTATCTATTTCCAGCGTTTCACTCTTCTCTTTTTTAGGGATGTCAAGGTTTTCTGTGAGTTTGTGAAAGATGAAAAATTTCTTGGTTTAAAAGTAATTGCTCTCAGCAGACATACAAAATAAATCAACTGCTTTAAAAAGCAATATCTTTGGTGTTTTTACTTCATAAATATAAAAGAGGTTATTAATGAGACATATTTAATATATTGTGTTCTGTGTTTTAGGAATAAATCCAGATCTACTACTGAACTGGATGATTACTCCACAAATAAAAATGGTAAATGCGATTTTTTCCCCCCAAACTCCTTCTTCACAGTTGCTTATTTGTGCTATCATGTTAGGAGAAGTATTTTTAAGGTCAAGATATTTCAGATTCATTAAGACTATTTAATTAAAATACTTAGTATTTTAACCTCTGTATATAAAAACAGCAAAACAACTATCTTGTGTTTATTTTTGGCTTCATATTATAGTGAAAAAATACTGGGAGGTTAAAATGGTTTTTAAATTGCTAATGAAATATGTGGGAATTTTGCAAAGCGATGCTGATGCAGCTGTGTCTGGTAGATTTTATTTTGCAGCTAAAGAAATAGTACAGAAAAGATTTCTACGAAATACTGGAGGACTTAAAAATTGTATACTAATTTGATTTATGCATGTAAATGCCAAAATGTCAAAAAATCAAAAATTATGACTTCACTAATTATGCAAAAACAATTTGGACTTGACATTGTTAGTATTATAAAATATGTTTCGGAAGAATGCATATAGCAGAAATTATGTCACTATGGAAAAAAACCCTAAGTGGTAATTACCATTTTAAGCAGGGTTTGCATATCAGGATTTGTGTAAGCAGGCAGCTGGTCATCTACATGAATGAATGAAGGTCCAGGTGGGGCTGAGGTCAACATGCCTATCAAGGTGGATAGCCACTGCCCAGCTCCAGCCTATCATTGCCATGCTGGAGAAGGCAAGCCTCTGATTGCCTACTCTTCCTGTTGTAACAGAAAAGTACAAAAAAAAAAAAAAAATTGTTTTCATGTGTTATCTTTTATGTGCTGACAAGAGATCTTTTTAAAAAACTAAAATACCTGTGAGCAAAACAACCTATCTACAGGCCAAATAGCCTGGTGGCAGCTAGTTTGTGACCTCTGGTTAAAGCTTATAGAACTTACAGTTTTTATTGGAATTCACAGTTCTATGATTATCCCTTTCTTTGAGCAGTTAGGACCTTCGTTATCTGGTTCTAGTTTAACTTTCCAGCCAATTTTGCTACTTTTCCCTTAAGGGGTCTTTAACTATAACCACATTATCATCTTTCTCAGTTCCCAATTTATCACATACTTTCTGATCTGGTTCCTCGGGTCTTACCTTTCCCTATTTGTATTTTCCATTTCTTCTCCCCTGAACTTGCCTTTAGCCACCATTAAAATTATAGTTTAAGTACTTCGGTATTCCATGAAATATTTTTAACCTGCAGTGATTATATTCTCTCTCCTGAACGTAAACACAAGACCTTTCAGTAACCAAAACTGAATCTCCAGAATAATCTTGTTAATATTTGTGGCTTGTGTCATTAATCGGATTATTTTGTATGTGTGTTTTCCCCCCTTCATTAACTCATTGCAAGCTCTGGGATAGCAGGCAGTGGAAGTTATTAAATATTTGATTTAAAAACTTGCTTATACCAAAACAACACTTTAAAAAGAGGCCAGGCACAGTGGCTCACGTCTGTAATCCCAGCCAGCCTGACCAACATGGTGAAACCCTGACTCTACTAAAAATGCAAAAATTAGCCATGCGTGGTGGCACATGCCTGTAGTCCTAACTACTCAGGAGGCTGAGGCAGGAGAATCGCTTGAACCCGGGAGGCGGAGGTTGCAGTGAGCCGAGATCATGCCACTGCACTCCAGCCTGGGCGACAGAGCAGACTCTGTCAAAAAAGAAAAAAAAAAAAAAAAAGAAGCAACATTTATTTAAAGTCTGACCCAATTGATAAGCTTTGTATGTACACAAATGTAAATATAGTTGTATGAGAAACCTTTGGTCTTGCTCATTGCTTACTGGAAGATGAACGAAGGCATAGACAAACAATACATTTTGAAAGAATGGCAGTAGCAATAAATGTGGAGAAAGAAAGAAAATAAATCCTTAGATGCGATTTCCGAATCCAGATTAAGGCGGGAATGATATGTCAAAGTTGTGGGTGTTTTACCCCAATCAGAAACTAATCGCCAAATCCAAGAGACAAAGTCCTTAGGATAAAACCTGACTTACTTGTCACGAATAAATTCAACATTCGAATTATAGTTCTGTCAGTTTCTTAGAGTCGAAGCAAGTCTAATAAAATTTATAGATTATTATTTGAATTGCTTGAGTATTTTTCCTGTTCACAAAAGCCATTTTGATGATTGAATGTGCTCATATTCTTACAATTTTGGTTGTAACTTATACCATGCACACTCGGGTCATGTTAGCCAGAGATATGTGCATTTATGTCCTCTCTCCCCAGGGGAGTATACATTTTTTGAGAGAAGAAAATTCCATTTCCTTTTAGAGTTGTTACAGCAAACGTTTGAGCATGTTCTTGATTGATTTAATTTAGGAACGGATGAGTGGAAGAAAAACTATTTCTAGATGAGCACTTTGTAACTGAGTAATACTGAAACCAGTACTGATTGTTGCCTTTTTGGACAGTCTTTTTCGTTTTCCCAAGTGCGTTCTCTGGTGTGGCTCTGACTGTGGAACTGGACTTTCTGGAATAGGAGGCAGTTACTTTATGTTCTCATGAAGTACCCTCATTGAGAATTGACAATGTTAGCACACGTGCACAAAGCCACATTTTAAGCTGCACTGCCATGGCGATTTATCCAGTCACTTTAAAATTATTTATTTATTTATTTATTGAGGCTGCAATTTCAAATACACTTTTTTTTTTTTGTTACATCAACTCCATCTCTCTCTCTCTATCATTTTGTATTTGTATTTTTTATTTAAAAAATTTTTTATTTCCGTAGGTTTTTGGGGGAACAGGTGGTATTTGGTTATATGAGTAAGTTCTTTAGTGGTGATATGTGAGATTTTGGTACACCCATCTCTCGAGAAGTATACACTGAGCTGAATTTGTAGTCTTTTATCCCTCACCCCCTTCCAACCCTTTCCCACTGAGTCCACAAAATCCATTGTGTTATTTTTATTTTTTATTTATTGTTTTTGAGACAGAGTCTCACTTTGTCGCTCAGGCTGGAGTGCAGTGGTGCGAACTCGGCTCACTGCAAGTTCTGCCTCCCGGGTTCACACCATTCTCCTGTCTCAGCCTCCCGAGTAGCTGGGACTACAGGCGCCTGCCACCATGCCCGGCTAATTTTCTGTATTTTTAATAGAGACGGAGTTTTACCGTGTTAGCCAGGATGGTCTCGATCTTCCGACCTTGTAATCCACCTGCCTCGGCCTCCCAAAGTGCTGGGATTTCAGGCGTGAGCCACCACATCTGGCCCATTGTGTCATTTTTATGCTTTTGCATCCCCATAGCCTAGCTCCCACTTATAAGTGAGAACATACGATGTTTGGTTTTCCATTCCTGAGTTACTTCACTTAGAATAATTGTCTCCAATCTCATCCAGCTTGCTGCAAATGCCATTAATTCATTCCTTTTTATGGCTGAGTAGTATTCCATGTCATATATATATGTGTGTGTGTGTGTGTGTATACCATATATATGTGTGTATATGTGTGTGTGTATATATATACACACACATACATTATTATATATATATATAAAACATTCTCTTTATCCAGTCATTGATTGATGGGCATTTGGGTTGGTTCCACATTTTTGTGTTGCGAATTGTGCTGCTATCATGGTGAGCAAGTATCTTTTTCGTATAATGACATCTTTTCCTCCTGGGTGGATACCCAGTAGTGGGATTGCTGGATCAAATGGTAGATCTACTTATAGTTCTTTAAGGAAGCTACACACTATTTTCCATAGTGGTTGTACTAGTTTACATTCCTACCAGCAGTTTAGGAGTGCTCCCTTTTCACTGCATTCACACCATTGTCTATTATTTTTTGAGTTGTTGATTATGGCCATTCTTGCAGGAGTGAGGTGGTATCACATTATGGTTTTGATTTGCATTCCCCTGATCATTAGTGATGTCAATCATCACTGTCACTTTTAAAATGTGCTAATCCCAAAGCCTTTGACTTGTTTTAATTTAGGAAGCAATAAATATTTTGACCGAATTGGGAACACGACCTCTTCACAGAGGAGTTCCAAGAAAGAGCAAGTACCATCAGGAGCAGAGTTGGAGAGGCAGCAAATCCTTCAGGAAATGAGGAAGAGAACACCCCTTCACAATGACAACAGCTGGATCCGACAGCGCAGTGCCAGTGTCAACAAAGAGCCTGTTAGTCTTCCTGGGATCATGAGAAGGTGCGAGACATCTTAGGAGTTGTTTTCTTGTCTTTACTGTGAGGCAGATATTTAATTTGTAGACATGCTGGTGCTTTGGGCAGAAGAGATGAAAGGAACGTAGAGCAAATGCTCTGGGGCACTATTATGTGTTAGACAGCCAGTTGCTCAGTTTACATGACCTCATCTAATCTGAGGAAAACATACTGAGGTAGGGATAATAATTCCAGTGTTTTTCTTTTTCTTTTTCTTTTTAATATGAGGAAACTTTGGCTCAAGCAGGAAAGACACTGACAGAATCACATGGTTAATAGGTTGGAAATCTGGACGGGGCGTTCTGAAGGGAGGTTCAGATGCTTAAATAATGCACACTGCTCTTAAAACTTTCTTGGCTGCTGAACTTCAACAAGCAGAAGTTTCACATTTTTATATTTCTAATGAGATAATGATTAGATTGGAATCATGATAATTGGGTTCACAAAATGATAAACCTAATTTTTATAACTTTAAGGAGATAAAGATGTTAATTGGAAATGAGTGCAGGAACATTTTAAAAGATGTATCTTGGGTAAATGAATGCAGCTGCTCTGATTCAGTATTTTCTTAGCTGACAAACAGACTGGGGAATTTATTTGTAACGTATCACAGAGAAAGCTAATTATCTCAGTATATTAATAACTTTGTAAAAACCAGAAAATTATCCCTACCAACTCTATAAAAAATAGATGTGTGCCTGTAATCCCAGCTACCTGGGAGGCTGAGGCAGGAGAATCACTGGAACCCATGAGATCACGCCACTGTACTCCAGCCTGGATGACGGAGCAAGAGACTCTGTCTCAAAAAAATAAATAAATAAACAAAATAAACAGACAAAGGGATATGAACAAGACAGGTCATGGGAAAAAGAAACACAAAGCCAATAAACGTAAAAGATCAACAGTAGTCCTAAAACAATAATGTATCTCTTTTGTTCACTGGATTTGTAAAGAGTTAAAATTGATTAAATTTAGTATTGACAATTGTATATGGAAATAGGAATCCTTCTTTCCACTTGGTTGGACAGGTTTTCAGTATGTATTAAGCAAAAGTTTCTATATCTGACCCTCTGAGCAATGTGGTTGCTAGCACTCTATCTTCTGGATATATTTGGATGAATATGCGAAGATATGTTCAAGGATGTACACTTACACATTATTCATTAATGGCAAAAGAAAACCAGTGTCTGCTAGTAAGGAGATACTCAGTAGTTATTCGATAAACAGTGGCATACTGATAAGATGGGACACTATATGACTATTGAAGAATGAAAGAAAAATGTTGCTACATAATATGCCACCTCCAAATTTAGTGAGCTAAGACAATAACTCATAATCTCTCACAGTCCTGACGATTGACTGGGCAGTTATTTGCATGATATTGGCTGGGACACTTGAGCAGCTGTAGTCATTTACAGTAGGGACGGGTAAGCCTTTATGTATAAGGACCAGATAGTAAATAATTTAGGGTTTGCAGGTCACATAGATTTCTGTCACATATTCTTTTTTTTTTTTTTTTTTTTTTTAAAAAGACTCTTTGAAAATGTGAAAAATTGTCTAAGCTTGTGAGCTGTGTCTATCTTGGCAGTAGGCTGTAATTTGCTGTCCCTGTAGCTGTAGAGGCTTCATTGAGAGCTTGGTCAGAGCTACTAGTTGAGGGGCCTGTGTTCTGCATGTAGGCCTCTCCACACAGTTTTTTGGGCTACCCCATGGCATGGGACCTGGATTCAAAGAGGAAAAGCTCGCACCAAGGCAATGCCTAATAAGCAAGAGCTTATCAAGCTGCCATGTGCATCGTGTTTGCTGATGCCCCATTGGCCAAATTAGTCATGTAACTAACCCCAGAGTCAGTAGGAGGAGACTACACAAGGGCATGGATACCAAAAGGTATGGTTCACTGGAGGCCACTGAAGTACAGTCTATTATATGAGCAGAATGACGATAGTTCTAAGATAATACATAATAAATGGAAATGAAGTTACTGAAAACTGTTGTGGAATAGTCCATTTGTTTAAAACTGTTAAACACAAACACATTACATATGTATATAGACACATCTATACTTATATATGTAAATTTGTGTGTGTATGTAAATATGTGCTTGCATATGTGAGAAAAGGTCTGGAACAACACACATTTAATGGTGGTTACCTCTGTGGGTTAGGGCAGGTGAGTCAGGAGAGGAAGGACTTTTCTTCTCCCTCAGATATGTTTCTCTGCAGCTTCAGTCTTTCTCCTAATGATAATGTATCATTTTTATAATGTTAAAATTTAAAAGAAAAATTTCAAGCTTGGGATAAGAAAAAGTTTTGAAAGCAATAAAATTAAATTTGACCAGGTAGATGAATTCTTATAATTTTGAGTTCATTTTTGTAGGTAGTACTAATGTTAGTACACGAATTTTAAGAGAGATTTTGCAAAAGTTGTATTTAAATCCATTTGGGAGCTAAATCTGATTTTAAAAGCATATGTACTTTAAGGGAAGTGACTGATAAATGCTTTTATAATGTGGACACTAAACAGCTGCTAAATTTAGGAGTTCAGGTGCTACATAAATGGGATCTTCACAGGAGGCATGGTCTGGGTTGTTTTAGAGGACTTGGGTTTGAAAGCCAGTTCCACCACCGACTGGCTCTTCCTATGACAAGCTCACTTCTATGAGATTAAAAAAAAATCTTAGTGTCATGAAGATTAAATAATGTTAATATTTTTGTGAAAGTATCTAACCTAATACTTGTCATATTTAAGCTCTTAAATAATGTATTTCTTTGAATTTTTAAAAGACTTTATATTTGCTGTCTAAACTGTTGAAGATTTAAAGGGTGTCAATCTTCTTAGACTTAGTAGAGTATTAGCTCTTATTTTAAAAATATTTTTCTTATTTTATTTCTTTCTTTGGTGGTTGGTATTTATTGTTTTACCTGAGCCCCGAATAAATAAAAATAAATGAAGGTGTTCTCACTTGAAAGTGGGAGCTAAACATTGAGTACGTATGGACACAATGAAGGAAACAGTAGACACCAGGGCCAACTTGAGAGTGGAGGGTGGGAGGTTGAGGATTGAAAAACCACCTCTCTGGTAGTACGCATATTACCTGGGTGATAAAATAATCTGTACACCAAACCACCATGGCACTCAGTTGACCCACATAACAAACCTGCACGTGTATCCCCTAAACCTAAAATAAAAGTTGGAAAGAAAACAGATTTTAAACAAAGAAGGTTGATTGACTTTGAAACATGATGCCACTGATGATGAAAATCAGTTTTACTTGTTAAAGGTAATTTTACAGGTGGTCCTCAACTTTCAGTGGTTTGACTTAAGATTTTTGACTTTACAATGATGTGAAAATGATAAGCGTTTGTAGAAACTGTACCTTGAGTACCTGTATGACCAGTCTGTTGTTTACTTCCAGTACGGTATTCAGTAAATTGTATACTTGACACTTTATTGTAAAATGGGCTTTGTGTTCCTTGATTTTGCCCAACTGTAGGCTAAGGTAAGTGTTCTGAGCATGACTGAGGTGGATTAGGCTTAGTTACGACGTATGGTAGTTTAGGTGAAATTAAAGCATTTTTGACTTACAATATTTTCAACTTATGATGGGTTTATTGAGACATAACCCCATCATCATACATCAAGGAACATCTGTATATGTAACTAGAATACTGAGATAATAACCACATGCAAAATATATAAAATGGATTTTTAATGAATGGAATGATGAATTAAACAGATTTCTAGTTGAACATATCACATTATTTTGACGAGTCTTTTTTGTGTTTCAGAGGCGAATCTTTAGATAACCTGGACTCCCCTCGGTCCAGTTCTTGGAGACAGCCCCCTTGGCTCAATCAGCCCACAGGATTCTATGCCTCTTCCTCCGTGCAAGACTTTAGTCGCCCACCACCTCAGCTGGTGTCCACATCAAACCGCGCCTACATGCGGAACCCCTCCTCCAGCATGCCCCCGCCTTCAGCCGGCCCTGTGAAGACCTCCACCACAGGTGTGGCCACCGCACAGTCCCCCACCCCGAGAAGCCATTCCCCTTCAACTTCACAGTCAGGCTCTCAGCTGCGCAACAGGTGAGGCCCTTGCTGTTTCTCTTTCTTCTCTTAGTCTTGGGTATTTTTTCATTAAAATATCCCCCAAATCCTGTCCAAGTTTTCCAATGAAAAAGAAAAAGAAGCCCTTTCAAAGGTGTCAGATTTGGTATTCTAGTATGAAATCAATGAAGGCTTGCTTAATACCTTTCCATGCAACTCTAATAGCATTTCTGGATGTCTTGTGAAGCCACTGGAGACTGAAGGTGTCTACTTGTTGCCACCGTCTCATTTGCCTGTGCTTGTGGTCAGTGTCTTGGATGTAAGACGTACCTGAATACTTCTCGGTGTGGAATCATGAAAACATATAGCAGCTCACAAATGCTTCTCAAATTTCTGAGTGAAAGCAGTATTGTCAAATAGCTATTTTCATGACACTGTCATACAAACTCAAGGAACTGAGTGTAAAAGAAGAGCATTACAGTGCTTTTCCGGGCATGCTTTATCATCTGGGGCACTTCGAACTAGCTGGATTTAAAAAATGTGAAGTCAGATATATCTTGCTTTTGGGGTTTTTGATTGCCAAAATCATTGCTTGGGCGTTCTGTTTGCCCACATTTTATTCAGGCTACATCAGCTGAATTTGCTAGGGCATATGGTGTGGGAAGTGTATATGTTATAATAGGGTGTTTTTTGTTTTTTTTTATATGGAGTGAAGCTCAGGTATCAGCGCTGCTTGGGTTCTTAGGTCTGGGTAGCTTCTCCACAGATCTTTCATGCCTCATGTAAGTACATCGGGCAGTGCTGCGCTCCTCACCCCAAGAGAGTGCTGTTGGCATGTACTACTTTCCATCACAAATGGAATACTTCACAGTAGAAACACATTGATTAATATTGAGACTTTTTAAAGCTATCAGATAAGAGACTTTCATAAGAAAACATGTTTTATATAAATCCAAAATAATTTTACACGTACCAGGATATAAAGTGTGTTTCAATGAGTTTGAATTGAGAGAACGGAGGTGAAGATTTAGGGTAAATTTGGGTACCGTGGGGAGGTGCAGTCTATAGGATGAGAGGAAGCTAGAGGAGGGGGACCCGTTTACTGACTGAGAGACCCATTCTGGGAGAGCAGAGGGATGGACTGAGGGCTTTTGTGACCTAAGAAGGTCCTGATCTAGGAGGTGCCCTCTTAAGCGCTGTGCTCATTCTGTGGGGGTGCAGAGGCGTGGAAGAACGGGTGCCGCCTTACCAACCAGGAGAGGAGAAAAGACTTGTATACAAAAGTGGAGTAGAAATCCTCCTTCCCTCTGTCCATGGCAGCCGTCAGGTACTTTTCATTTCCTTCCCTGCAGAGACAATCCTCTAAGCCAGAGGTATAGTCAGGAAAGCACTGACATTCCTCTGTAACTAGAAAACTGGGGGACCAAGAAAGAGGGTGAAAACTAAGACTGAGAAAAATAGGTCACAGAGGACTTTCAAAGCCTCTCGAAGAAAGTTGGGGCCACCCTTTTGGTGTTCTGAGGGAGTAGGAGGACATGATCAGCATTTTGTGCTTTGGTTTAACTGGCAAGAAGCTGTAGGTGGATGAGATGAGGGGCAGCTATGGCTGAGTACAGATGTGATCAAAGGAGGATAGTATCAGAAATTGCAGGATGGACTAATTACACTGAAATTGCTCATTTATGTGAATCGGTGTCAAGGGTCTCAGAGCTGCCATGGAGATGGTTCAAGGTTAGAGTATAATCAAGGCATTCTTTCGTTGGCTGGTAAAAAGTTATTCTCCCACAGATACATGTATAGAGCTTTTCTTAAATTATTATCAATGTTAATAGCAGAGTGTGACTTTTAAAGAAGAATCTCGAGCTGCCCAGGTGAAAGCCTCCATTCCATTCTTGTTCTGCATCTAGGTCAGTCAGTGGGAAGCGCATATGCTCCTACTGCAATAACATTCTGGGCAAAGGAGCCGCCATGATCATCGAGTCCCTGGGTCTTTGTTATCATTTGCATTGTTTTAAGGTGAGACTGAGACAAACAGCTTGCAGGCCTGTAAAGCTTTGCTTGGAGAGCGCATGGCTTCTTTGAGCCGCTGGGTGTAGATGTGCCACTAACAAGCTAGGTGCTGTATTCGTCAATCTGTGCTGCATTTGAATCACAAATTGCTTGCTTCCCCCTAGTTCTCAAATCTTGAACCTTGTTTTAAAACTTAAATCTGGAAAAATTTTGCATTTTCTATTTCTAATCTGTTAGAATTCTATAAATTTACAGTACATAAGTTGCTTTCTCTAAGATGCTGTCAGAGGCATACTTGAAATATATCAATATCCTACTAGTGTTGTTAAGGTCAGGGACACATGCAATTATCACAGGGTCTGAAAGCCTAGCTTTCAGTAGGAAGAACATGTAAGGAAAACCATTACCATTGTAGCTATTTTTATAATTGCACAGCCTGTTTATACCTGATAGGTTTTTGCACATAAGAAGGAACTAAGGCTTTAATTGTTTGGTTTTGTAATCTCTGTCTCTAAAGACATATCTGTTTGATCCTTGAGCTTGCATTGGGCCAGAGAAAGATTCTGGTTGTTGATCCTGGAGGCCCACAGACCACAGCTTGTTTAAGCTTGTACATTGCTGGCTTGGGCTGTTCCTAGGCAGAGCAGAATGAGTCAAGATAATTAGAGTTTGGGCACATAGAATTGAAATATCCAGCCTTGAAGTGAGGCGCTGTGTGGGAACACTTGCTAAACTAGTGCAGCAGGGACACTCGGAGCGGCCCACCCCAGGGTGGAGTGCCACGGCCCAGCCTTCATTCACTCTGGCCAGTTCTTTCATGGGGGGCCTTACCTGCCATTCCTCTGGTGGGATAAAACTAAATTTCTTTAAGTCAATCAGCAAATGATTTCTATTTTGGGGGAATGTATTTAGACTGGTCATCTCGGCTCTTAATATTGGCTTTATGAATTCTTTAGCATCTTATCTGGCAGGCTTGATTTTAATCTACTAATCATCTTTCAGCCTTTTTTTTTTTTCTTTGCTGAAATGTATCTAAGAGCTTAGAAGTAGCATTCTGCTCATTTCCCCCCCATCCCGAGGAGTGCCCCAAGCTTTCTTGAGCTGACTGACTTTGGATGTTCTTTTTCTTTGTTCCCCAGTGTGTTGCCTGTGAGTGTGACCTCGGAGGCTCTTCCTCGGGAGCTGAAGTCAGAATCAGAAACCACCAGCTGTACTGCAACGACTGCTATCTCAGATTCAAATGTAAGAGAGCAAATCAGAGAGAAAATTTCTTGCCTTTTAAGGAGACCACGGGTTCCCATGTATTTCCCTGAACCTGCAGCCAGCTCCCCTCCAAGTTCACTGCCATAGGAATCCAGGTTTCAAGAATTGTAGTGTGTTTCCCTCAAAGAGTGTGTATAGTGAATGGGCCACTGCTCAGGGTTCCATCTACGCAGGAGTGGGTTGTGAGGCCAAGGAATGGAGAGGAACAGAGTCCGAGAGTCAGGGTGGTGTCTTGTATCATCTTCCCAGGGTCCTCAGAGACCCTTAATGACTCAAGAATACAAAGAAACCAAAACACTTCAATGAATTTTCTATTTAGGCTATAATCTGTTTCTTGACTAAAGATTGGTCTCTCATCAACTTATTTCTATTATTTAACAATGGGCTTTGATTATGTGATTTAGAATATGACCAACTTTAAAAAATATTGTTCTATGTAATACAAAATAAGTCAGTTTGTGCTTTATATGTCAGTTAATATATAATATGTCAATATATAATTTTAAAAGAAAAGTATTAACTATGGTGTTTCAGTGTCATTTTTGGAAAAGAGTTTTTCAAAAAACTTCAAATGCTACTTTGCATCTAAGCATGTGTTTGTGTGTTATAAAAGGCAGGCTAGCATAACTAGGGTGTGTGTTGTGTATAGCTACAGCAAGACAACCTTTACTGCTGTTTATATTTTAAACCTTGATGCTGGTAACGTGTGTTTCTTCCTTATTGTGAAAGGGTGTTACAAGTGGTATCAGCAAAACCATTTGCTTTTGAACTCTGAGGTATTTATATGGCCCCTATGTGAAGAGTGCTTTGGAAATGGTTTAAGCCCAGTCAACTCTCTTTTGTCTGTCGGTGGGTTCTGAGCCTTCCTGCTGCAGCTGTCCAGTCCTTTCCTGGATGCTGGCACTGAGGTTGGAGAAAGTCAAGGCTGGGCATGTACTGGTGGGGGTGTGTGTATGTGCGTGTGTTTTTCTCTCTCTCATCGATTTCCAAAGCCAAATAGAAATGATTTCTGGAATCATCATTTTAAAATTGCCCATGCCTTTTCTCTCCTCCAAGACAAATAATAGAGGGTTGAGTGTAATTTATTTCTATTGTGCGCAGTTCATTTTCGTTTTTACTCCATTTTTACAAATAAAGAATTCCAGAGACGAGACACTAAGATTTGCCTAGCTTTATCTTAAGAGTGAGTGACAGGTTATTCTTTCTACCTCACTGGGCCACTTTCTGAGTGATGACTGCTATGTATCCCAGGTGGCAATATTCACGTTTCTGAATCTAAGCACTTTTCTTTCTTCTCTCCTTGCCTGATCAGCTGGACGGCCAACCGCCATGTGATGTAAACCTCCATACGAAAGCACTGTTGCAGATAGAAGAAGAGGTGGTTGCTGCTCGTGTAGATCTATAAATATGTGTTGTATGTCTTTTTTGCTTTTTTTTTTTTTTAAAAAGAATAACTTTTTTGCCTCTTTAGATTGCATAGAAGCATTGTAGTCTTGGTAGAACCAGTATTTTTGTTGTTTATTTATAAGGTAATTGTGTGTGGGGAAAAGTGCAGTATTTACCTGTTGAATTCAGCATCTTGAGAGCACAAGGGAAAAAATAAGAACTTAAGAATATTTTTGAGGCAGATAATGATCTGGTTTGACTTTCTAGTTAGTGGTGTTTTGAAGAGGGTATTTTATTGTTTTTTAAAAAAGTTCTTAAACATTATTTCAAATAGTTAATATAAATACATAATTGCATTTGCTCTGTTTATTGTAATGTATTCTAAATTAATGCAGAACCATATGGAAAATTTCATTAAAATCTATCCCCAAATGTGCTTTCTGTATCCTTCCTTGTACCTATGTATTCTGATTTTTAAAAAATGCAGTTAATGTACCATTTATTTGCTTGATGAAGGGAGCTCTATTTTCTTTACCAGAAATGTTGCTAAGTGATTACCAATAGAAAGCTGCTTATTTTCATTAATGAAAAATAACCATGGTTTGTATACTAGAAGTCTTCTCCAGAAACTGGTGAACCTTTCTGTTCAATTGCATTTGTAAATAAACTTGCGGATGCATTTAAGGAGTGGGTTGTCTTTTTCTTCTGCGTATGTGTCTGACCTCAAGCCTTTTAGTCATATTTCAGTATGTGGCCTTTTTTGATGTTACGTTTTATTCAGTAGCTTTACTAAGGTATAACTGATGTAATACACTGCATATATTTAAAGTGTATAATTTGACAAATTTTGACATAGTGTATACCTTCGAGACTATGCCACAGTCTGGATGTGTTTACTGAAACATTTTAATAAGGAACTTTATTTTTGATAAAGTTATGTTTTTGGATACAATACATTTGTATGGTGAGGGTGATGAATTGTTGGATCATTTGAATAAAATATTTTCTTTTACTACCCCCATGATAAAAGGAGAAGACAACAGTGAGCTTAGAATATCTATAAAGCAAAAAGTGTAGTCTCTTGTTTAAAAAATCTGGAGCGGGAATGCAAGGATACAAAACTTTAACATGCTTTGAGCAAAAATTTAAACTTACTAGAATCTTTTATAATAACGTAAGTGGAATGGCCATTTCTAGGAACTGAGAACTGTATTGGAATAGGTTTAAAATATATAAGAAATGTTAATGTGGGAGATAAAAATTTTATTTAGTACTTGCTCTGATTATTGTTAAAGTAATAATATGTTCCTTGAGGATAACTTGTCAAATGCCCCAAAGCATAAAGAATATAATTCTGAATCCCAAATTCCAAAGACAAGAGCTCTGTCTTTGAATTCATTCTGCATATAATTATTTATAAGTATGAATTGTAAATTTTTCCATGTTCTTAAAGTTATTGTTATCTTTTTTCATGGTTGTATAGTGCTCCATTGTTTGGCCTTGGTAATATTTAGTTGATAATTCCATTACTGTATATTTTTCAGTTGTTTCTAAGATCAAACCTTTTAATATGTGCAGGTTATGTATAAATATGTAAATTCTGTGATACTCTATGATCATCTCTTTCTTTATATTATTTTCATAGACATAAAATTGTTGCTCGGAGATTATGCATCTTAAGACACTCATAGTATATATTGCCAAAGTGGTTTCCAGAAAGGCACTGCTGGCTTCGACTCCTATAAGCAGCACATGGGCTTTGTCCATCTCGCTGCATGTTCATGAAGATACATTTATTTTGCCTTGTTCTCTCTGCCTGATGTATACGCAGAGGCAGCCCTCAATATGCAGTGGTTGAATAAATGAATGAAGAAACCGATATCAATATCTGCCCTGTTAATTCTGTTTTTCACTGTCCCCAGAGGATGCCTTAATTCTGCCATCATTTTAGTTTCCTTATCCAACATCCTTTCTGACCATTGCTCCTTTTCATCTACGCCTTTTGTCTTTTCATCTGCTTTTGCTTTCTTATGACTTTTTTTCCCCCATTTCTCACATTATCTTACTTAGTGATAACATTTCTGTTAGTACAAATTATAAGTACAGTTTTCAGAGCTATTTTCTTCTAGGATACTGACTCTATATTTGTGTAAGCCCCTGGGTATTTGTTACTTCACCTAGGAACAAGGGAAGAGTCCAGCCCTTCAACAAATTTTTTTATTCATGCTTGATGCTCCAGGCACTGCTTTCGGCACCATGGGTAGAACAGTGAAGAAATACAAAGTCTTGCCTCTGACTAGTCTTATTTTTCTGATTGAGAGAGGTGATAAGACAATACACAAAAAAATAACATGCAGGTAGTGATGAGAGCAACAAAGAACAAATACTGGGTAAGAAAGATGCAAGTGCTGGAAATGGAAGTTTGACAGTGCTTTTTATACAGGTGGTCAGGGACAGCCTTTTGATATTTGGGCCACAGCCTGAAGAAATGAAGGAACAAACAGAGACTTGATGGAAAAGCATTCCAGACACAGGGAACAGCAAGTGACAAGTCTTGGCGCCGGAGAGTATTTGGTGTGTCCAGGAAGCAAGCGTGGTTGAGTGGAGTGAGTGTAGAGGGTTTAGGAGCCATGGGGAAGTGGAGGGCACAGAGCAGCAATCGTTGCAGGACACGGGCTGTTACTTTGAATGGAAGAAGACACTGGAGAGTTCTGAGCAGAGAAACGAACTGACGGATGTGTTAAAAGGACTGCTACAGACTGCTGTATGAACAAGACTGCAGAAGGACAGGCAAAAGCAGGGAGACCAGTTTGGAGCCTATTGAAATTACCCAGGAAAAAGACATTTACTTCAACAGGGTGGGTGTAGGGGAGGTAGTGAGGAGAGGGAAGATTGTAGTGTGTGTGTGTGTGTGTGTGTGTGTGTCCCCTGAAGGTGAAGCTGGTAGAATTTGATCATAGATTGGATGAAGCAAAAGACAGGGCGGAGTCAAAAATGAATCTGAAATGTTGGCCTGAGGAGCTGGAAAAATGGAATTGCCTTTTTCAGAAATGGAGATGGTTACAGGTAAAGCACATTCGGGTAGGGTGATCTGAGATTTGGTTTTTAAGCATAGTGAGGCTGAGCAATCTATCAGATACCTCAGTAGCAGCGTTGAGTAGGCAGCTGGCTATGCAAGGGAGAAGCCCAGGCTGGGCATGTAAATATAGAGTCATCAGTATGTAGATGGAATTTCAGCTGAGAATTGGGGGGACATCACCTGGAATCTGACTGTAGCTAGAGTGGAGGTGATGTCCAAGGACTGAATCCTGAGGCCCTCCAGCAGTAGCGATCAGAGATGCAGAAAAGTGAGCAGGAGAGAGAACCAAGACCCTGGTGCCCTGGAAACCAAGTCAAGACCATATTTTAAGGAGGGAGAGACCTATTGTGTCAAATACTTCCCAGAGATCCAATAGAAATTAGGCCCGAGAGTTGACACTGGAAATCAGTTTGCAATGTGCTTTCCCCCCGATCATACACGTGTTTGTGTTTGATATTGTCCTTCTCAAAGGTTCAGTTGGGGGCTCCTCATGTATGTGGTAGCTGGCCCAGTTTTCAGTGCCTCGTAAATGGACCTGATGCTCTTGCCTAGTTTTCCCAGGGAGATGAGCTGAAGGGTAACATAGAAAGCCATCTCTAGGCCACTTACTGTCTGTACCCTTCCCTAGAATGTACTAGCAGCCAGAGCTGCACTTCCCAGTGTGTTCTATGTCACCTCAACACACATGTGATCTTTCTCCTCCCTCTGCCCTATAATTTCTGAGGATCGCAGAATATTGTGGAAATAAAGGTTTTGGGGTTGAGGCTACCCTATCTGCCTCAGAGGTGCAGAGCTGGTCAGCTGGGGGCCATTTCTGCTCTGCAATGTTCTGATACAAACCCTAGGTCTTTTAACCAAGAGGCCGGCCGATCTGTCTGATTTCAAGCTACAAACAAGCTTTGTTCTTTAAGTTTTGACACATAGTTCAGCTACGTGGTAGTTGATGGAAATCCCCTCTAGGTTCCAGCCTTAGTTTGCCAGTTTGAAATCTTAGCATTAAGAATTTTTTATTTTCAATGTGTTTATGCTTTGTGGGAAGCAGGGAGAAGCTGAATAAAAAATTGCTGTCTAGACGCCATATTAAGGCATAAGCTAGTTTTGTGATTGATTGATTGATTTAGAGATTGCATTTTGTTCTGTCACCCAGGTGATCGTGGTTTACCACAGCCTCAATCTCCTGGGCCCATGTAGTCTTCCTGCCTCATCCTCCCAAAGTGCTGGGGTTGTAGACATAAGCTATTGGATCTGACCAAGTTCTTTGTTTTGGGATGTCATAAATATTCCTGAAACCTACATCTCCATATCGTTGACTTACAGGCAGTAGGTTCAGGTGTATTCTTCAGCCGTTCATTTATTCAGTTGATACGTTTGAGAATTATATGTGTGTAGGTAATTAAACCCATCTTTCCTCAGTGCTGAGCCAATAGAGAACCTTTTATAGGAGGGAAGGATGGGAAATACCAGCGTCTTTTCTGCTGGACAACTTCCCACTTGGATTGAGCTTAGTGACGGAGCATCGAAGAGAAGGGCCCTTGTCCTCTGTACCTGTGGGCTAACTACATGGAGGACAGAGGACTGCATGTGGCCTGTGGACAGGCAGCTTTGAAGACAAGGTTAAAGAATAGTTGAGGGTGCAGGCCACATATGAGTGGCCACTTCTAACATTCAGTGTTTCCCAAAGAGGGTAGTGTTTATCACTCCTCCCTCTATGGGGAGAAATAAGGGAGCAGAGTAGAGAGAAGAATGATTTCTTCTTCCAGTGTTCCTGAGAAAACAAATGTTTCTGGGTTGGCATGAATGTAGAGGAGGAGAGAAGGTGATCTTACCCTCTATGTGAAGGCATGGAATATCTTCAGTGCCAAATTTAGGAAGGAAAGCGGAAAAATTGAATTTGTTCTGCTTAAGAATTTAATCTTAGCATTTTACTTGAAATGTTTATGTAAGAGTGAAAACTAGCCAAAAAAGGGTGAAACTCTCTGAATTTCAATGCATAGGCACAGAATGGTAACTACTGCCTGATTGCTAGAGTTGAGAGACATGCCTAATGGGGTGTCTCAGGGTTGAGATTTTACTTGTTTTATTTTGCACTTTAACATCCGTCCTCACAATCTGGAGGAGGGATTAGAAGGCATGCTAATGCAAGTCCCAGTTCATGTCAGTAATTGGAAAAAAAAAAAAAACTAATTTGTGCTTAAAGTCCATGGATAGGAGGCAGGAAAACAACTTCCAGATTCTTGTTCATGAAACGTGTGGATACTAGGAGTTTGTATGATGAATATAAAACAATCATTGTTCTCACAGGGGGAAGAGAGGCGTATACCAAAGTATCCCAGTACACGGTAGAAGAGACACGGCCTGTGAGAGACAGTGTGTGAGGAAGTGGCTTCACAGCAGAGGTGATGTCTAAACTACATATTTAAGGGCAAATACAATCTTAACAGATCAAGTGGAAGGAGCAAAATATTATTTGAGTTAAGATAAACATCCCAGTGATTCTTCCCTTCCTTTGTACTCCTGCTGAGCCTTACAGAGTTGGCCTGTTTTGCAGAGTCATGAGCAGATCGCTCGAGATACTTTGGGCTGGGATCTCCATTGGCTGGGCTGT